TGGAAGAGATGAAGTAAAGTGGGGAAACGTGTCTGGAGTAAAGTGAGGAAGAGATCATTGCAGGAAGTTGTATTGAGCATGCTGATAATGACTAGTTTTCTAAATACATGAAAATACATGAGAGGCTATTATCACAAGATTCCTTTAAAAAAGGCCAAATTAGATAAATCTTGAGTTACACAAATATTTAAGTATGTATGTACAAGCATACCCTGGGGATACTGCAGGCCCAGTTCCAGACCACCACAATTAAGTTAATATTGCAATAGAGTCACATAATTTTTTTTTGTTTCCCAATGCATGTAAAGTTATGTCTACACTATAGTGTGTAATATCATCATGTCTAAATAAATGTACAAAATTTAATTTAAAATACTTAGTTGCTACAAATTGCTACTGATCATCTGAGCCTTCAGCAAGTCATAATCTTTTTTTTTTTCTTTCTGATGGAAGGTCTTGCCCTGGTGTTGATGGCTGCTGGTAATCAGGATGGTAGTTGCTGAAGCTTGTAGTGACTGTGGCAATTTCTTAAATAGGACAACCATGACATCTGCTCCACTGATTGAGATTTCCTCTCACCAAAGATTTCTCTGTAGCATTTAATGCTGTCTGACAGCATTTTACCCACAGTGGAACTTCTTTCAAAATTGAAGTTAGTCTTCTCAAATCTGCTTTATCAACTAAGTTTATGGAATATTTTAAGCCCTTTGTTGTCATCTCAACAACGTTCACAGCATCTTCACTAGGAACAGATTTCATTGCAAGAAACCGGTTTCTCTGTTCATCCATAAGAAGCAACTCCTGGTCAGTTCAGGTTTTACCATGAGATTGCAGCAATTCAGTCATATCCTCAGGCTCCACTTCTAATTCCACTTCTCATGTTATTTCTACCACATGCGCAATTCCTCCCTTCATTGAAGTCTTGAACTCCTCAAAGTCATCCGTGAGGATTGGAATCACCTTCTTCCAAACTTCTGTTAATATTAATATTTTCTCTTCTCCCCTAAATCTCAAATATTCTTAATGGCATCTAGAATGACGACTCTTTTCCACAAGAATTTCAATGTACATTCCCCAGATCCATCAGAGGAATCACTACCTATGGCAGCTACTGCCTTACAAAATATATTTCTCAAATAATAAGACTTACAATTCAAAATTACTCCTTAATCCATAGGTTGCAGAATGAATGTTGTGTCATAAGGCATGTTCATCTCCATCAAAGCTCTTGGGTAACCATGTGCATTGTCAATGAACAATAATATTTTGAAACAAATCTTTCTGGGCAGTAAGTCTTAGTGACAGGCGTTAAATATTTAGTAAGCCATGCTATAAACAGATGTGCTGTCAGCCAGGCTCTGTTCTTCCATTTATAGAGCACAAGCATAGTAGACTTAGCATAATTCTTAAGGGCCCCAGGATTTTCAGAATGAGAAATGAGCACTGGCTTCAACTTAATGTTACCAGCTGCATTAGCTCCTAAAATGATAGTCAGCCTGTCCTTTGAAGCTGGGTATTGTCTTTTCCTCTCTAGCTATGAAAGTCCTAGATGGCATTTTCTTCCAATAGAAGGCTATTTTGTTTACATTGAAAACCTGTTGTTTAGTATCGACGCCTACACCAGTGAACTTAGGTCTGGATAACTTGCTGCAGCTTCTACAGCACTTGCTGCGTCACCTTACTTTTTTATATTATGAAACTGACTTATTTCCTTAAACCTTATGAACCAACCTCTGTTAACTTTTTTTTTTTTCAGCTTCATCACCTCTTTCAGGCTTCATAGAATTGAAGAGAGTTAGGGCCTTGGATTAGGTTTTGGCTTCAGAGAATGTTGTGGCTGGTTTAGTCTTCTATTCAGATTACTAAACATTTTTCATATTAGCAATAAGCCTCTTTTGCTTTTTTATCATTCATGTGTTCACCTGGAATATCACTTTTAATTTTCTTCAATAACTTATCTTTTGCATTTACATGAAGCCTAGCTTTCAGCCTATTCCAGCTTTTGACATGCCTTCTTGAAGAAGTTTAATCATTTAGAGCTTCTGATTTAAAGTGAGAGACACATGACTCAATTTACTTAAACATATAGTGGCCATTGTAGTGTTATTAATTAGTCTCATTTCAATAATGTTGGGTCCCAGGGAATAGAAAAGCACAAGGTGAGAGAGACAGAGATGGAAGAACAACTAATCAGAGAAACAGAACACACACAACAGTTATTTATTACATTCACAATCTTATATGGGCATGTTCATGACATCCCCAATTACAAAAGTCACATCAAAGATTATGGATGACAGATTACCAAATAGATATAATAGTAATGATAATAAAGTTTGAAATATTGCGAGAATTACCAAAATGTGACACAGAGACAAGAAGTGAGCACATGCTATTGAGAAAATGGCATTGATAGACTTGCTGGATGCAAGGTTGTCACAAACCTTCAATTAAAAAAAAAAAGATAATCTGTGATGTGAACATAAAATAAAGTGCAATAAAAAGACAAGATATGCCTGTACAGACATCTTGGACCTCAGAAAATATTTAATAAAGCAATGTAAACTGTGATGCTCTAAACTGGAACACACGTGAATGGAATACAAGTAAGCAGCATTTCTCAAAATTGTATTCTGAAACTTTTTTCAAAACATATCGCCAGGGAATTATACACTTTAAGAAATGCAGATAAGCACCAGATTTTTTTCAGAAAAAAGGATGAGTATTGCTGGGCACAAAGAGGTGTACCAGAATCAGTTTACATTCTCTTAACTTCCCCATGTAATCTTCAGACAACCTGTCGAAGAACACGTTTTTATTTTTGCCAGTTTTATCTTCCCTATCTCCTCTTTGCAAATCATCTCTTCCCCACTTTACAAAAGAATAGCAAACCTCTCAGCCCATCAGAAACTTATCATGGGACACTGTAAAGATCTAGGATTACAAAAGAAAATTTAAAATACCAGTTATTTGATAAGATTCTTGCAATCAGTGCACATGATCCCAGCGAGGCACTTCAATACAAGCTTATTTTAATTTTTAATATAAATATTAAAATACTGATAAATAATTATTCTGTTTCAAGCAAAGATGCACTTGTATCAAGAGCAATAATTCAGCTCAGATAAAAATATAAAAACATACAGACTTCTGGTGGCAGGACATTTTCATATCCCAATTAAATACTTATTTTTGTAGCAAAGAATGATACAATTTTCTAAGGTAATGGAAATAGGAATTCATTCAAGGAGAAAAAAATAGAAGTTTAAGGAAATAAAAAACAATGCAATATTTTAAGGAACATCTTGTTTTTGTCTTTTAAAATTAGCTCTCGTATTTAGATTCTACCAAATACATTTAAAAGAATAGCAGAGTTTTGCCGTAAAATGTTGACACTTACAATGTGCTGCAAATTACAACTTTTGCCAATACAAAGACTACTTGTATACCTAATCCCAAACTGGACTCTACATTTAAAAAAAAAAGCTTGGATACTAACTTAAACACGTTTATGGAATGCATAGTTTTTGAAAATTCTTTTAAAAAAAAAATCATGGAGTGGCTCGGATCATCTTCTTTGGTGTTTTGAAATATTATAACAATACAATCAGCAACTAACTTATATTGAACACTACTGTGTATGAAGCATGCATTTTACATATATTAACTCATCTAATTTTAGTAAAACCTTTTCAGAGTGTTAGTATCATCATTCTTGTTTACACATGAGGAAACTGAGGCACAGACTGGTTAACTGACTAAACTAGTTACCCAAGTACTGAAAAGTAAAATTGTGCTTTAGCCCCAGTCAGGCTGGGCTTCAGAGTTCACACTGTGACCCGCTGCACAGTATTATCTACTTAAATATGTTTTTCCTACATAAACGTTTAAGTGTTGAAAGTTTATCTTTTCAGTTTAGCTGTCAAGTCTTGGAAGGCAAGACCATACCATAAACTTCTCTATGCTGACAGCACCTGGAATTTAGTTCTGCATGGTAGAATTAAAAAAAAAGTAAATAAGTCTTTTTATGATTATACATTTAGAATTTCTAAGAATTTTTATTTTCCATCTAATATTATGAGTAGCTCTCTTGAAAGGTATGTAATCTAAGTATAATAGAAGGCTTGTTTCTCCTTACCTGGGACAAGGAAGCCACAGGGCCCTGGCAGCCCTAGGAGCAGGGCACACATTCATAATATTTTCCGTCTAATATTATGAGTAGCTCTCTTGAAAGGTATGTAATCTGACTTTTTTGTCAGAAACACACATCCATATGTTTGACTACCATAAGTGGAAATAGATACTAAACAAGTTTGGTAGTGGTTATCTCTAGGTATTGTGATCAATGGTTAATTTTATTTCTTCTTGCAGAAAAAAAATAGTTGTTTTTTATTGTTTACATTTTCCTATTTAGACTTCCTATAATGGATGTGTTTTGTTCTTATAATAAAAGAATAAAATGGTATTTGTTGTTAAGACACCATTTAGAACTCACAAATACATAAAACACAGGGAAAGGAAAGGGACACAGCAAAAAACAGGAACATCAATACGGGAAGTCTGCAGCACATGAGGTGAGTCTGAAGGTTTGGGCTGATCACTCAGGAAGGCCTGTTTCTCCTTACCTGGGACGAGGAAGCCACAGGGCCCTGGCAGCCCTAGGAGCAGGGCACATGTTCAGACAAGGCAAAAGCAAAGCATTTTATTTGTTAGAGGTCATTAAAGTAATTTCCACACACTGTGTACTCTGCATTTTTTAATACATTTTCAAGAAAACTTGGTCATTTCCATAGGACTATTTCTGAGACTTATTTGAAAACTGAATTCTTTCCTTGGGCACCTCAGGCAACTTGTCTTGTGCAAGCACAGGGGGGAAACGTAATTCTTTATTGGGCTTTTCGATTATACCTTTGTAGTCAAGTGGCAAATTGTTGTCTGTTTTTCCTTCTGACTTAATATAGTAATTTTTGAAAAGAAGTACAAATGATTGAAAACAATACCTTGGCATGTGAATTTTTTGGAGGGAGTTGTGAGTAATAGTTTATCTGCCATTTCTCCAGGACCAGCACAGCGGGCAATTCCAGGCTCTTTATATTCCGACTTCACCCAGTCGGACAACCACTGCATGTTACAATCACAGTAAAGAGGGTTGGCTCCAATTGCTCTGGAAAAACAACACCACAGAAGCACACACACACATACATACACACACAAGTATGGAAGTATTGTTATTTCCTAAGGGAACAGAATTCAAACTGATGCTCAGTAGAAAATCCCTATAGTATAAAATTTTTTGAAAATAGCAATTTAGCAGAAAATAGAGACACTTGCAATTCCCCATTTTCCTGATTGATGTGCATCTGGGATTTAGTGAGTTGTCACTGGTGTTAACACGTCTGTGCTTTAGAAGTTCTCCTTATATTTACAGAGATGGGTAAGCACACCTAAGTGCAAGGACACTTCCTTCATTCACCAAATATTTACTAAAGACTCGATCACTATGCAAGTTTCTACAGACCGAAATATGCATAACACATTATTCTTACCTCCAAAGAACTCCTCTCGCAGAAGAGACCAGCATATACTTATAGGCACAAAGGATTTTCATGAGATGTGCTATAGCAGAGGTATTTATAAGATGATTGAACAAACAAAACTTTTCTGGGGGACCTGGTGGTTAAAAGTTTCCAAGATGTGGGACAGGTAGAGTTGAGCAGATGGAAAAGATTTGAAAGGAAGTTCCAGGTAAGGGACAAAGGCACAGAGATAAGAAAACTAACAATACTAACAATACTAAACACTAAGGATGCCTAGAGTCCTTCTGCAAAGTCTTTCATTTCATGGGCCCTATTCACATATGTAGAGCAATAATAGGAAAGTAATCAAGATAATAGATAACATTTATTGCAGTGGTACCATATACAGGAGCTGGGCTAAGCCATTTGCACGGATTACCTCATTTTATCCTGAATAGTAATTTTATGAGGTCAGTATTATTAACAATCCACTTTGCAGATTAGGAGACTGGGACTAGAGAAGTTTGTCAAGATTGGGCATAAATAGTAGCATTTAAAAACTGATTAGTAAGCCGGACTCGGTGGCTCAGCCTGTAATCCCGCGCCTTTGGAAGGCTGATGTGAGTGGATTGCCTGAGCCCGCGGGTTCGAGACCCGCCTAGGCAGCGAGACCTCATCTCTACAATAAATCAAAAAATCAGCCGGGCGTGGTAGCGCATGCCTGTAATTCCGGCTACTCGGAAGGCTGAGGTGGAAGGATTGCCGGAGCCCAGCAGGTTGAGGCTGAGGTGGCCGGGAGCGGCCACTGCACTCCAGTCTGGGCGACAGAGTGAGACTCCAACTCAAAAATAAAAACAAAAACAAACTGATTAGTTCTGATTTATATTTAAATTTTCTGGTTAGTAATATTTCTAGATCCATATTTTAAGCATAATTAATCCTGCTCTTTTTTAGGCAACCCCCAAAATATATTTGTAAAATTATAAAATTTTATATTTTACCAGTTTTAGTGCCCAACTCTAAGAATTGGAATACAGTGAGTGTTGTGCTCACATGTATGTCAGATTCAAACCCTTCATATTAAAGGGGCCAAAATAATGGTTTTGAGTCATGTGATCTCATCTCCACTGACATCTGCCAAGTCCAAACTATGACAGGAGAGAAAGTGGAAAAAGTGAATAAAGCAGAGCTCTTTGTATCTAGGAAGTAAAAGGCAAGTGCATGAATGAAATACAAGGCAGAACAGGGTACATGACACAGGATTCAAATTGCTTGTGGGGGGCAGTGTCCTCACTTAAAGGAAAGTTTTGCTCAGCTCAAGCAGAATCCTTTCTCTGCAACGTCTTCTGATCCATGTCCCTGACACTAGCAGAATGGCCACTTCCTCCTTTATGTGACCTTATCTATCAGACAGTACTGCAGCCCTGCCTCCCTGATCTAGGAGCTTCATTCTAATTGTACCTCCTGCACATGGCAGGCATGGAGTTTGTAAAGGAGTGGCCCTGAGGTCAACTTGGAGGTGGGTGATGGGACTCAAAGAGAAAAAGCAGAGGTCTTGCCTCAAGGACCTGGTAGTTCAGTGGAAGGAATACTAATAGTAGGCACCAGTCCGACAGATGACTGTACAAAAACCCATATTAATACCATAGACACTATAAGGCAAACTCAGATGTGATGCAACTGACTATTGGAAGCTATTCTACAACCATCCCTCTTTTTAAATTTTATAAACGTCTTATCTTCTTGGAGTTTGAAGGTTTTGAAAAAAGTTGCAAAGCTAGGAGAAGATATAGCAGGTAACTTCTCTCAGAGAACTGGAGTTCAACTGACATTGATAGGCTGAAGCAAATTACTGCCACCAGGTGCCACCAGACTCAACATCGCCCAAGGAGGCTTTGGAGCTTAGGGCTGCTCCCTAAACTTCCCTGAAAGTTTGCACAGTCTTAATATTATGCCTAGTGATAATGAAATTTGGCTCAAGTGAGTTTTTTATTTAACTCTAACTATCACATATGTATTAAATTATTTCATTGTACTTAAAAAAACTATGGAAATACAAACAGGTTACTATGATAGAAAAAACAAAGAAAAAAAAACTTCTCTCAATATAAGGAATTGGCTGCGTCTCACAACCAGACTATAATGTCTTGAACCATGCAATTTTACTTTTGCTTAATGTGATAGTTGATGCTGCATAATATTTGCTAAGTAAATGCATCCAATCTGAGCAAATCAGAATAGGCTTCATGGAGAAGGTGATACTTGGAATGTGACTTGGAAAAGCACTGTTGGGACAGATTGAATAGAAGGGAAACTAATAGTCTAGAATCAGAGAATAATGAGAAAAAAAAGGCATAAGGCTAGTACCAGTTGGGGAGAAATTTTTCGAAGAGACACTCTTAGTTAAGTGAAGAGAACTCAACTGATGGGAAATAAGAGCCAGGAAGAAAAAGTAAACTACCTTCTAGAACAACCTTTTTGGCATCAGGGACTGGTTTTGTGAAGGTAATTTTTCTATGGACTGGGGAGAGAAAGGATGGTCTGGGGATGATTTGAGAGCATTACATTTATGGTTCACTTAATTTATATTATTACATTGTAATAGATAATGAGATAATTATACAACTCATTATAATGCAGAAACAGTGAGAATCCTGAGCTTGTTTTCCTGCAACCAAAAGGTCCTATCTGAGAGTGAAGGGAGATAGTGCCAGCATCACTGCCTCAGCTCCACCTCAGATCATCAGGCATTAGATTCCCATAAGGAGTGTGCAGCCCAGATCCCTCACATGTGCAGTTCACAACAGGGTTTGCATTCCTATGAAAATCGAATGCCGCCACTGATCTGACATGATGTGGACCACAGGCAGTAATGTGAGTAATGGGAGCTGCTGTAAATACAGATGAAGCTTCACTCGCTCACATGCTGCTTACCTCCTGCAGTGTGGCCCTGTTCTTAACAGGCTGTGGACTGGTCCACAGACTGGGACTGGTCCATGACCCGCAGGTTGGGGACCCCTATTCTAGAAGGCATACTATCCAGGCTGAAAATATTCACATTTTATTTAAAGATGACACCAAACACGTCTTATGATGTTACAATTAAAGAAGTGGCAGAGGACTGCCCCAAACTCATTAAGGAGAATGTGACCCTAAACTACATTCATGAAATAGGTACTCACAGGTGTGATAATGCAGAAAGATCATTGAAAGCACCTTCAGGCACGACAGCAATGTCATTTCCATGTAGAGAACTAAAAGCAAGAAAAAAATTAATAAATTTTCCCCATTTCAGAGAGTTCAAAAAAAAGTCTCATGGACATAAGTTTATAACAAGCATTTCATGTCAGTGCTGAAAAGATGCACTATTCAATGGTTTTGATACAACTGGGTATCTATTTGAGAAACCAGAAAGAGAGCTTATACCTAACATATTATATACAAAATAAAATGTAAAAATTAAAAGTGCACTAAAAGAAAATATTTACGAGCTCTTATTTTATAAACATGGGAGAAGGCTTTCAAAAGCACAATATAAAACCCAGAAACCATAAGAGAAGAGAATGCTAAATTTTTGACAACATAATATACATCCATCTAATAAAAAATTTCATACAAGAAACAGAATGAGAAATACTTGTAATTTATATACGATAAAAGGATTAATTCCTTTCTAAAAAGACCTACAAGCCCAGGGTCATGTAGTGAACACATAAAGACATCTACATTAATAAGGTAAAGACAAAATACCTAAGAGAAAAATGGGGGAATAATATGATCAGGCTTATTAGAATAAGAAGCACAAATGCTCAATACACAAAATACATTCAAATGCCTCAGTAATTGGAAATGCAAATCAAAACAGGAATAGAAAATAATTTTCAATCTGTCATAAAAGCAAAAATAAAAGGACTAATAAGATTCAACGTTCGCACAAGTGTTTTGAAAAAAGGTATTCTACTCAACTGTTGTTGGAAAAATGAATTTGTAAATTGACAAGATCATATTTGAGGGACACCGTGATAATTGCTTTTGTATCCTCCCAATATACCTGACTGAAACTTCCCACCCTACATCATTGCTGAAATTCTAGCACATTTGCACCAAGGTAAAAGTACAGGATGTTCATCAGAATACTGTATAGAACTCATGAAAATTCGTAACGAAATCAAATTACAGTAAAGATGCAGATAATTAAATAATAACTTTGCACCAGTTAAACAATGAGTCATATGTCTAAATGATAGAATGAAAATATCAAAAGCACATGTTTAATAAAAATAGCCAATGTCAGAACAAGAACGGACCCTATTTGTAGCTTTTAAAAGATAGATAGCTGGGGGCACACATATATTTATGTATAAAAACAAATGCATATGAAAACAAATCAGAAGAGCACATCAAGCTGTTTTAACTGCTAATGCTGAGGTAAGAAAGTGAGATTGAGGAACATGCTTTATTTCACATCCTTTAAAGTACATTTTTATAGTAAAAATGTTTTCATGTACTATGCAATTTCTAAAGAATTACATTTTCCTATATGTATTTCAAAATTTTTTTGAGTTACATAAAACTTTATTTATTTAACTATTTATTTATTTATCTATTTTGATTCAGAGTCTCACTCTATCAGTCAGGCACTATCATGGTTACTGCATCCTCAACCTACTGGGCTAAGGCGATACCTTCCAAGTAGCTGGAATTACAAGCACATGCCTCTATACCTGGGTAATTTTTTTTTTTTTTACTTGTAGAGACAAGGTCTTGCCAAGTTGTGCAGGCTGGTCTCAAGCCCTTGGCTCAGGCAATCCTCTCACCTGTCTCTCAAAGTGCTAGGATCATAGGCATAAGCCACCATGCCCAGCCATATATCTTAATATTTTAAAATAATCAAATAAATTACTATAACAACAGTAAGTATTGCAAAAGAGAAAGTTATGTTGTCCAGACCAAAGGTGTTGACAGTGACACAGTAAGATATTTTTTCCATTTCTATATTTATAGTAAACCTTAATGAAAATGTCATAAAATAGTCGAGAATCAACAAAGAAGTTCAATCATGTTCTAATGTTGTCTTTTTTACAACCCCAAACTTAGATCCCTGAAAAAGGAGGTATTTTGTTTTATATAAGATGCTTACAGTAATCGAAGAGACTTCAATCCATCAAAGGTTCGAGGAGGAATACATCTCAGACGGTTGTAACTAAGAATTCTGAAAGCATACACATTCAAATTGGCTTTATTCAAGAATCCCAAAATAGCCAATGTCATTTTCAAAACAAAGCAGTTAAGAAAATAGCTATCTGAACATCTTATAAACTGACAGTGTTTATACCCAATACATTTGCGGTGTTTGTGTTGTCTCCCTAACACAAAATATTGACTTCCTTAACAACAATCTAGAATGCTTCCCTCCCAGTGTTGTGGTTTCAAACATACCCTCCCCAAGGTGTCTTTTCCCTCTCTGAAGGAGTTCCCTAAGCCCACCATAAATATACATTATTCTTTGTTTCTTTTACTGACCCCCAACATATTTTGCAATATCTGCACTAGTTTCTATATTGAGTTTTTGTCTATTTATGCTAATAGAAATACTCCTTGAGGGTAGATACTCTGTCTTGTTCACAGAAATGTCCAGCATCTAGAAAAAGCATTTTATCTAGTGAATTAATAAATACTCTGTACCACATTTTGACACTCACAAAGTGAGGAGCTGGGTCATGTTGCTGAAGCTCTGATTAGAAAGAGTGCTTATCCTGTTGTTACTTAAGTCTCTAAAAGAGAAAAACAAATAAATAGTGTACCCCTTAAGCACAGAAATGGACATATTAGTATTCTAAGAGAAGCGTTTCCTTGTTTATAGTCATAGCAGTATTGCTAGCACTCAGCTATTATCTGAAAACAACAAAACACTGAATTACACTCTGGGGTAGATTATAATATTACTCAGAATTATGACACCCCACCTTGTTGAAATTAGGAGTGGCCACTGCCTTGCTTAAGCCAATGAAGTGTAAGCACAAGTGGCCGGTCTCCCTTCAGAGCAGTAACTTTAGAGATTGTTTCCCTGTACCCCTCTGCTCCTATCTCTACAAGACTTGTGAAGTTCCACAGAGAGCTTTCTGGAGGACACTTGTAATAGATACAGTTTTTGTGGGAGAAATAAACCTCTATGCTTGAAGGTCTCATTAAATACACATACTTTATCCTCATTGATACACATATTCACTGATACATGTACTCAAATTTAATAACTGACAGAAACCCTGATTAATAATTACATTAAAAAAGCTATCATTAAAAACACCTGTGCTCCTGCCCTTGGCTGAGTCACTGGCACACAGGAGGTCCCCAATAAATATTTGGTTAATAAATATTAAGTGAATGGAAGAGATGTTGAATTTTTATCAATGCTAAATGGCTAGTTATAAATGTAGTTTGTACTATGGGTGGCAATTTATATGTAATTTGTATTCTATGAACTTTATTCATATTATATGTATAGTCACTATATATATTCCCTAATTTTTTCTGAAGCAAAATATGAATAAAAGGAAGTCAAAAAAGGTAAAGATTGCCTCATCCTTTACTAAAATATCCACATATTTTTATGTGTAAAATGGACCCATAAAATTGTAAAACTAATAGAAATATTTTAGGACATTTATAATTCATGTTTTTAGCTCCTGAAGTACTACAGCTAAATTTTAAAATAAATGTATCTATAATAGCAGAGTTACTGGCCTAGAGTTGTTTAATGAGGTACTGGTGAAACCATTTCTGGATCCTCAAATCTTCATCTTTCATTTTTAACTGGCTGTAAATAATCACATGCTATCCCACAAATGACCCAATTCTGCTAAAGTGAACCTTTGAAAATTGCAGCAATTTAATGGTTTATTTAACAGAACAAAATACATGTAATCAGTTCTTGCTGCTATCAAATAAGTAACTAGAAGCAGAATAAGACATCTTTGAGGATATTCTTTTTAATTTAATCATCTATCCTTCAATAAAGTGTTTGATTTTCCCACAATTTTTGGGAAAATTAAGTGTTTGATAGTATTTTAGCTAGTTTCAATGAGCCTAGAGCTTACATCAGGGCATGCAATATTTTCTGCTATTTAGGTCTCCAGGATTCATTTTTTAAAGTCCTTATTCTAGGAACACTATCAATCTGCCTCTTAAGTTAGATATATTTACACTAAAATCAGATAGACTTAAATTAATATAAGGTATTTTCCATTTTGCTATTGTTTTCCTGATTTTTGTGTGTGTGTGTGTTGTGAAAAGTTTTCTCAGTTACCAACAAGCTTATTCTAAAAGAGTGATATTATATATAACAAGATTATAGCCATTTTGAAACACTATACATATAATCAGATCATAGTTTGAATACTGAAATATCTTTGTGTATTGGCAACTTAAACATGGTCAAAATTTGTCTACATTAATGAAAAAATATTATTTTAGATATCAGGCCAAATAGAAAAAAAAATCAGTATGTTGACTTTTATGCTCAAGATGTCAGTCTTTCTCAGGTTTGGAATATTTGCAAAATAGATATATATGGATTTTATAAAATACATTTTAATACTTGGAGTCCATAACTCAATAATGCTTTATATAAGAAACTCAAACATAATAAACCAAATTTATAATATATTCCGAATAAAGTTATTACCATCGACCATCTTTTGCTTAAAATAATAAAGATTTTAAGCCGGGCTCGGTGGTTCAGCCTGTAATCCCGCGCCTTTGGGAGGCTGAGGTGAGTGAATTGCCTGAGCCCGCGGTTTTGAGACCCGCCTGGGCAGCGAGACCTCATCTCTACAATAAATAAAAAAATCAGCCGGGCGTGGTAGCGCATGCCTGTAATTCCGGTTACTTGGAAGGCTGAGGTGGAAGGATGGCCGGAGCCCAGCAGGTCGAGGCTGAGGCTGCGGTGGCCGGGAGCGGCCACTGCATTCCAGTCTGGGCGACAGAGTGAGACTCCAACTCAAAAAAAAAAAAAAAAAGACTTTGCTTTTTGTTTTTCTTTCCTTGGCTTGTCATAAAATCACCCATGTTCATTTTCAAGAAAGTATCAAATTTTACTGCATTTTTATAATTCTGACTTCTTAGATTGTATGGTATTTGTGCTTTCATGAACAGAGGAGGACCTTTCTTTAAGACATTCCATTGCCTGATTGATATTCAATGAAGATGTAGCTGGTGATCCAGAACCACAATGATCACGGAGGAAAGCATCTAACTGTAAATGATCTATATTATCTGAAAGATTCACTAAATCTTCTGCCCCTTGCCAGCCCCATTTTCACGAGATGGAATAGCCAGAGACAGGAAAATACAGTATGTTACTCACATAAGCGTCAAATGTTTGTAGTTAGAGAGCTCCCTGGGAACCAGTGTAAATTGGTTTCCATCCAGATACCTAAAAACAAGGTTACGATATTATCATCTTACAAATTAATGACGGCCTATCATAAAATAAGTGAACAATATATCAGCCCTAAGTGAGGCAAGGAACCACTTGGAAATTTTTACTTTAAGATGTTACGTTGCAGGTTTGAAACATTATTTGCGAGAAGACAAGGGGGAAAAATACAGTTGTGCAGTTGTCCAATCCAGCAGAATTCTTTGTGAATCACTAAGGCTAAATTACAAAACCAAGAAGAGACTTGTGAGTCCAGTTCTTTGTGGTTTATCCAACAAGGCATTTAGCTATCTCTGTGTTAGATTGGAGGTTCATTCATTCAACCATATTTTTAGTCAGCCTCAAGCTTGCTTGTGTTTGTGTGGAGACAATACCATGAAATTCATTAACTACTCAAAACCTTGCTACTGTGGCCAAAACCATTCTTTACTGTCTTAACATGTGTCAATACGCTTAGAATAACAATGGACACTTTTAAGGAAATATTTGGAGAGTTGAACATAATTAGGTTTAAGTTGAAAAACACTTTTTAACCACCATAGGTTTGTTTTTTGATTATCATTTCAGGAGGTTTCATGAAATTCACAAATGTATCAAGTGTACAAATACAGCATATATATGTGAATGTAATAATCAAATAACCATATATAAATTTTCCTTTTTTTATTAGAGATAGAAAAATAACCAGAAAATAGATAGGCTTTGGGCTAACTGGAAAGATACAAAAATAACAGAATTCTTGAAGTTATATCTATGATGTCACAAAAGGAAAAATAGATTTCATCTCCTCCCAAGGCTGTCCTTTTCTAGAATACAGATAGTGAAGAACACACGTGTCTTTCAACAACTGGTACCATCTGGCTACCTATGTGTCCACAAACAATTCTGGCTCATTGAACATATGGTCCTTTTCTATCCCCGTGTTTTGGTCCATCTTAACATTCCAGGTTGAGGATGGCATTTTCTTCTGGATAGAAAAGTAGCTGAGAAGTTGCCTAAGATGACAATCTATTTCTAATTTTTAAAAAATAAAAAGTCATATGGATGAGTTTTCAAAAATATGTAATAAATGCTGGGTTAAAAGTTGAGCATATGTTATGACTCCTTATGCCTACTCAAATTTTCTGACTTCATATCATTTTTTTGACTGCTCTGTTTTCTTTCCGTTAGTTAGTTTTTCTTACCACCACTAGAGGGAAGTATCATCCCGTATAGTTCAGTTTTTTCCTTTTATTCCAGAAAGCATCACAGCAAGTTAAAAAGATTAAAACATGTACTGTGAATATTTATATGTAAAACAATCTAAGAGGGAAGTTACATGGAGCTTATTAAAAATAATGGATACTATTTGTTCAAAACTGGTCTACCAATAATACTATTTCCCCCCCAAATCTTTAATAGTTGAATACATATAGATACTTTTCTAATACACACCTACACATTACTGGTGACATGGATTCTGCTGACTTGGTAAGGTTCTAAGAATAATTTCTCTGGGATGTAAAATTTGAATTAAAAAAAGATGAGTTAATATTTTTCTCATCTCATCTCTCATGACTTACTTTGTTTAGAAGAAAAGACTGCTTTTTAAATAATATGTAGTACAATAGATGGAAAATTCAATTTTTTGGATTGTTGAAGAAGCACATAGATAGCATAGATAGGATGTGAATCAAGCATTTTGTCTGAAGGACCGTAATAAGGAAGGCTTAGGATTCTTAAATGAAAATCTAGTAAAAAGACGAAGGTATAGGCCAGTTAAAACAGCAGAAGGGACTTAATATTACAGGTGGCCTGAGTATATGCTACCCGTTAAGATATTCCTAAAAATCAATGTTTTGCCTATAGAATACTCTATAGGGATCTTGCCTCCCCCTCAGAGGAAGGTTAAGGGGCCCATGTGATCATCTTAAATACAAACATATTAAGATAAGAATTAAGTGTTTAATTGCACAGTACATATAAAACAATGTTTACAGTTGGTAGTAAGAGAGGGACTGAACATTTTACAGCATTTCGAACCTAAGAGGAACGTCTTGTGCACAGATGCTATGATTGTGCCTTCTTTCTGTGAGTGCTCCATTCAGAACCAAAGTAGATTCAAAGAGCTGCACAATTTGAAATAAGAACCTTAACAAACTGAAGTGACATAGTGGCATATTCTTGAACCTCATTATCGAAGATGGACACTGCCAAAAGTTTATCAAGTCTGCTCGTTTGGAATATGTGTTGGCTTCTGCATAAATTACAAGTACACATCTGCATAAGTTACATCTGTACTTAAATTATTGTCATTCCATGGTTTCACACAGACAAAAAATTAACAGAAGCAAAATGACTTAATTGTATTAATACCAATCACATCCAGAACAAGGTATTAATTTAGAGATAAAGAAATAAAATGAACAGGGCATGCATGCATCATTATTCTAGCAGCTTTTTCTCTGATTTATTCCATTCTACATATGCAGCACGAGGCAGCCAGGGGAGTATGTGCAATGCTGAAGGCCTAGACATCTGTATACTGCTCATGTAATTTGTGGTTAAATATTGGTTATGAAAATGTCACAGATAATTGGTCCTGTGCCCTTTCGAATCTTAGGAACTTTGACTCAAGTACCAAAAAGCAGTATATCTTTTTAAGGGCAAGGATTATGCCAGTTTCTTTCACATTCCAGATAATTATTTCTCCCAGGGGTGGTAGAGCTAAAGAAATATCTGCCATATGGAACATCCTAGACTTTGTAAATAAACTCAAGACACAGCATTTCCCACAGTGTATATAAGATACTCCATGAGAAAATAACTGGAGACATAGATAAGTGTGGGAGCTATCCTACATTTGATTATTATTATCTCTTTGAGCTTCATAGTACACCTTAGCATGATAAAGGCACTGAGAAATCCTACAGTGCAAAAGAGAGAAACTCACACAACCAGGAATTCCCAAGTTTCCCTGGACTAGCTTTTGTATTATTTGTTAACGGTTTTAGATCATAATATTTAACTGCCCACAGGATGTCATTTGCAAATATAATTCTAAAGATTTTTGTTTTGTTTATATTCCTTTGGGTGTGTAAAACATTGATTGTCAAGGAAAAAGAAAGACAAGCTCTACTTACAACTCTGTGACATCTCTTGGAATACCTTTCGGTAAGATCTTCAAGCCCTTGTTGCTGCATCGGACGACGGTATCCAAACAAGTACACTCCGCAGGACAGCGAGATAGTGGGGAGCAACTATTGTCATCATTTCCTAGATAGCAGAGGAAATACATAAAATCTCAGATTTGTGGTTTTGAAGGTGCTAGCAGGGATGAATTAACTTAACCCATAAGAGTCATGAGCTATATGATCACTTATTTTTAGAGCACTAAATATTTAAAAATTGATAGGATAAGTTCTAAACAGCATTGCTTTCAGACTGCCTAGGGAAGAATTCCAGAAAATAGTCTACAATTTATAAATTTTTATCATAATTATCAATGTAATCATAATGGTTGTTTTGTTGTTTAAAGACATTATATTTTCAATTCAAACATGTAAATGTAAACTGAACTGCAGACAAATTATAAAAAGACAGGCATGAAGAGACATAAAGTGATAAATTATTTAGAATTTGTAGCAAAAATTTCATGGATCCCTCACTTTAAAATACAGAGTACAAATTAGTTATCTGTTCACTAGCAATAACAGTAAAACCTGGTACACCTACCTTGCAGGGCTATCATGAGAATCAAACAAAACGATGTAGAAAGAGCATTAAAAAGTGAAAAATATTTTTGTTAGATTTACTAAAACTTCTAATTTATAATTTAATTGTTTTATTCATTTGAAAGTGGTAGTTTCTAAAAGGCATGCCTAGGATAATAAAGAAAAGTTTAAAAGAAGCTATATGATTAGTATCAACCATAAGCTGGATACTAAAAAATCTAAAACATTCAGAAATACACATCAAGTGGATTCAAATATGAAGGGGAAACCTGAGAAAGTAAGTGCCCTGTTGCTAAAACAAACAAAACAAGCAAAGCAAAAGATGCTTGACCACTATTAGTTGAACTGAACTATGCAATACATTGCCCACAACAGCATCTGAACAGACCATACCTGATCACCAAAGAATTGGCAAAAATTTCTTACCATCATCACAAGTGAAGTCCTGAATGGCCACATCCTGAATGGGTATTTCTTTGAGGAAGTATGGTTTTTGACATCGAGGATTTCCTGTTACGATTCTTTTCTTCCTGAGCCACTCTCCCAACCAAGCCAGGTAGCAGTTACAGTTAAAAGGATTGGCCAAAAGGTTTCTAGGAGCCACATGTAGACAATGCACAGTTCAGTTTGGGACTTTATCTTCTAAAACCCCATGTAATCATTTCCACATTATTTCTGTTAGAATAATTCCTTCTAATGTTTTGCCTTCCCCATTCATACTCAATCACAAACAACATATGGGATGCATCTTTTGACTAAAATATTTATGCTTGGAACTTAAATACTAACAACAATACTTTTGCATAAGGGAACTCTTCAAATAATTTCATGTGAAAAATAAGATAAAAACTGTAATTTCGGGCTTATACAGTGGATCCTGATAGATATTCCATTTAGAAATAATTTAAACTTGTCAGAAATCTGACTCGCTGTCAAACTTCTCCACACTGATAATGCAGTAATTTAATATAAAGATGAAGGCTGATTACCTTATATTATTGAGTTTAACCTGACAACAGCTATTTTATTAATTTGTCATCTTAAGATTCCCATCTCTTATTTGCTCTAGAGAATAGGTTTCCCATCTAAACTGACAACTGAGTTGATTAAATGCCAGTTATAAAAATGAATTTACTTCTACAAATCTCAATACTTTTGGCATCTTACAACTTCAGCATAAACCTATTGACAATCCCATTATTTATAAACATGCCATCTTTAATATGCACAAATTAGTCACTTGATATAAAATGTCACATTTTCTGTGGAAAAAGGATTAAATACTTTACTGATGAATGGATGCTTTCTCTCAAATTATGTCTTCAGTGACTTGAGCTATGTTAAACATGTTCTCCCCATCTTTATTTTCCTCCTATTGAGTTAAATTAGTATATTTGCATGTCACCATGACCAGAGAATTATATCAATCATATGATTAGTAATTTTAAATGCTGTATTTTAGATACTGACATACAAGAGACCTGAAATACCTTGTTTGGAGGTGTTTATTATTTTTTTCTTTTTAAACGTTCTGAATTTTGTCTAGAGGCCTACAAATATTATTTTCAAACTGTCTATATAAAATATCCTCTTGGACAGGCTCTACTTAGTTCTTCCATAACATAGTTAATGCCCTCTAGTAAACAGCTTTTATTGTTGGTCCGGTCATCCTAATGTATCTCCTGTCATTCTGAATGACCCTTTTGAGTATAGTTTGTTGGCAATAACCCTATTAATTCTGTTTTTATAATACTCACACTGAAAATACTCCAATATGAGAACACTAAGGAAAATCTATGCCATTTCTTTTATATGCAGCACTATCAAGTTAGAATCATTTTGAAAATCAGAATTAAGCCACATCATTGATCACATTATTATGAAAAAGAAATCACGGAAAAGTACTGTAATTTTTTGTTAAAATTTACTGTATAATTGTAGGTAATGTTTTTAGAAAAACTACAATAAATTTGACATGAACAAATGTGTCCTTTTTAAGGGAACCTAAACCCTTGATCACGTTTTAATGAAATCTCTAATAATGCATTCCAATTTCATTAACAAAAGTAACAAATATAATATGCCGGCTTAAATGATGTATAAATAAAGACTACTTTTCATACTTACAGAGTAGATAAGGAATGGAGAGTATCAAATGCCCCCGGTGCAACTGTAGTAATTTGATTATCATATAAAGAAAGCAAACGCACAGAACTGAGTCCTATGAAACTGTCGTTCCCCACACAGCTTATTCGATTGCTTCTCAACATCCTGAGGGGAGAAAAGGAATATTGTTATGGAGATAAAGCATCAGGCAATCAATTTCACCTATCTGAAGATCAAAATGATCCTTCCTTATAAATGTGTCGCACTCATTACTATTTTTTTTAATGTTCTCTTGCCATTAGGAATTGCTATGGACAGGTACAGAGAACATCCTGCAAGAATGAAATGCTTAGAGATGCCAATGATTAATCTCAGTTACAAAAGGCATCATGAGTGTAGGCATGGATTTACAATCCCATGACAAGGGCAGAATGTTTTCCTTTGATGCTGTAATTATGTTTTGCATGATTACATAATGTCCTAATTCACCTACAGCTCTCTGAGTCCTTGAAGTCCTGTAATTTGTGTATTCAGGGTAGTATTACATTTGAGGTTGGACAGAAGAAGGCAGAAAAGAATCCATAGTCACTGCAGATGAAGAACAGAGGGCATCTCAGGGACTTACATACTGAGTCAAGGTCAAATGTAGTCTATAAGAGCCAAAACTGAATGAGTATTTACAAAGCTTATACAAGCTATTTTACATATGGAATTTAATTCATCATATTAAGTTTAGAATTTAAATAGAGGCAAAGCAATATATCCTAGTTGGCCAAAATAAAATTTAAGTAGGTCTACCATAAAAAAGCTCTATATTTTTAGTCATTGCCATTAATAAGATTAACATTGTTATCATTTTCTTATTATTGTTAAGATTTTGGCTCATTTCTCAGTTCATTGCTAACTATTTATTTCTGGGGCGTAGGAAATAAACAAAAAGCTTCTAAAAATCCCATGTGAAATAGCTTGAATTGTTGCCATAGATCCCATTAAGAATACCTGAAATTTTAATTTATTCCCTGGTTTTTCTCAATATGGGTTGACTACTGTATTAAAAGATTGCAAATGTAAAAAAAAAAAGGGAGGCAAAAATAAATAAACAGCAAAGTGTCACAAAAATTTTAGATTGCCCTATAATAAATAAGGAGTATAAACTTTTGCATTCTGCTAAGTCACAGATAAGGAAAAGATGATACCCTCCTTATCAAAGCATCATTTTATGTTAGGAAACAAATGCATAACAGAAAAGTAATCTTCTGTTATAAATACTGAAGAGCACTGGGTCTTCAACTAGCTGGAGTCATGTAGCTCTGAGAGAAGTTGAAGAAAAGTTTGCTCTCTGACCAGGTGAGGTGGCTCACACCTGTAATCCCAGCACTTTAGGAGGCTGAGGTGAGAGGATTGCCGGAACCCAGGATTTCAAGATCAGCCTAGGCAACATGGCGAGACCTCTTCTCTACAATAAATCAAAAAGTTAGCTGGAACTGCAGGCATGGTGGTGCATGTCTGCAGTTCCATATATCTAGAAGGCTAAGGTGGAGGGATTCCTTGAGCCCAGTAGGTCGAGGCTGAAGTAGCCTTGATTATGCCACCATATTGCTGCCTGGGAGACAGAGACTCTGACTCAAAAAAAAAAAGTTTTCTGTCTGTTGCTGGAGAAATCCATAAGCACACATATGCACAAAATTTCATCTGCAATGTCAGGGAATTCAGAGACCTGATGAAATATGTATATGGACTATTAGGTGGCCTATTTATCCTAAAAGGCTAAGAAGTCTAGGGGAGAATGGGAATGTGCTGTCAAAATCTTCATAGCTTCAAGTCAAAAGACATCACGAGGAAAAAGAGAAAAGAGACCTGTGCAGATAAACCTACTATAGGACTTTGAATACCCCAACTTGACTCTACATTGCTCTGTTTGTCATGACATGGCTGGATTAAGGAGATCCAGTGGAAGCCTGTATCAGGTACTAGAACATCGATAGAAATATAATGAAAGGAGAAAGTTGAATTTTGAGAGCTCTCAGGCCGACTCCTGTGAATGTAATTAGTCAAAAGAAATACTTCAATAAGTTTCTTGGGGTGGTGTTATGTACCAAACTATTTCCCCCTCCCTGAAATTTATACACTTGAGCCCGGCCCCCAAAAGTGACTGGATAGTCACGTACCATATAATGATGTTTCAGTCAAGGACAGCTGTAGGAAGGTGTTTCAATAAGGTTGCAATGGAGATGAAGAATTCCTATTACCTGACATTGTAGCTCTCATAATGTCTTAGCATGATATATCACTCATGTGCTTGTGATGTAAAAAATCTACTGTGCTGCTAGTTTTATAAAACTTTAGCACAATTATTACAGTATGTAATACTTGATAATGACAATAAATGAGTGTTGCTAGTTTCTATATTTACTCTACTACACTTATTATTTTAGAGAGTGTGCTTCTACTTATTAAAGAAAAGTTATTGGTAAAACAGCCTCAGAGGTCCGCTGCCCCTAAAAATCTTCCAGTGGAACAAAATTCTGAGATGGAAGACAGTGATACTGATGATCCTGATTCTGTGTAGGCCTGGGCTACTGTGAGTGCTTGTGTTTTTTTGTTTTGTTTTGTTTTCTTTCTTTCTTTTTTTTTTTTTTTTGGTGGTTAACAATAATTTATTGTATATGTTCAAATAGCTAGAAAAGGGGATTTTGAAAGTTCCCAAAGCAAAGAAAGAATAAATGTTTGAGGTGATGGATTTGCTAATTGTCCTGATTTGATTTTTACACATTGTGCACATATATCAAAATATCACTCTGCATTCCTTAAAAATACACAATTATTATGTATCAACAAAAGACACAACAAAAGTACAAAACAAAACAAATTATAAATACTCTGATTCCACAAAAGATGTGAGGTAATTTTCAATAAAATTTGCATCACAGCCAATAATATTAAATGGGAGTTGAAATTGTGTAATCAAAAGCATTTTTTTCTTTTCTATTAGCTAAAAGTACATTTAAATCACAGATGTTTTATGCTTTTCATTTATTTACAACTCCAATGAACACACTTCATTAAAACATATTCATAGTATCAGAACCAGGGATAAATTCTGTGAAATTTTTCTTCCATTGAGTGTGATCAATCATTGTGATATTCTACCGAAATAGCAAAGAATCACTTTTCCACACAGTCATTCTGTCTGTCCTCTCACCTCTGACTTGCATCATACCTGCCAACCCATCGCAAGTGCCTATGTTTTTAACAAAATGTTTAAAAGGTAAAAATGCAAAAATAAGAAAGATTATAGAATAAGACTAAAAGAAAGAAAATATTTCATACAGCTATACAATATGCGTTTTAATCTGAGTGTTAAAAAAGAGTCAAACGTTAAAATAAAAAGCATATAAGGTAAAAGAGTAACAGTAAGCTAAGGTCAACTTATTATTGAAGGAAAAAATTTTAAAAATAAATTCAGTGTAGCCTAAGTACACAGTGTTTATAAAGTAGCATCCTTGGCCTTTGCATTTACTCACTACTCACTCATTGACTCACCTAGGGCAACTTCTCATCCTGAAAGGTCTATTCATGGTGAATGCTCTCTGCAGGTACACCATTTTTTAATCTTTTATAATATATTTTGATTTTACTGTTTCTAAATGTAAGTATGTTTAGATACACAAATATTTGCCCTTGGTACAACTACCTGCAACACTCAGTATAGATTTGTAGCTTAGGGGCAATAGGCTATACCATATAGCCTAGGTGGGTAGTAGGCTCTACCACCTAGATTTGTGTAAGTACATCTATGATGTTCACACAACAGCAAAATCGTTTATTAACACATTTCTCAGAGTATCCACATCATTAATCCATGCATGATTATATTTGGAGAGCAGGATTTTAGGGAGGCCATTAAGATAAAGTGAGGTCATAAAGGTGGGATCCCATTCAGAAAGAACTGCCGTCCTTCCAAGAAGAAACAGACACCAAAGAGCTCACACTCTCCCCGTGACCATAGAGAAAGGCCATGTGACCACACAGCAAGAATGTGGCCATCTATAAACCAGGAAGAGAGGCTTCATCAGAAATCCACCCCATCAGCACCTTGATCTTGAGCTTTTAATCTCCAGAAAAGTGAGAAATTAAATTTCGATATTTAAACTACCCAGTCTGTGGTAACTTGTTATGGTAGCCTGGAAGGAAAAAAACAGGCAGAGTTACAGCCTACTCCCTTCTTTCCATTCCAGATAGGATTCCAGTAACAAGAAATAGTCCCTCAACTACTGTCCGAGAAGGAAGGCTTCCACTGGTTGCAAGATTTATGTTTTTCTGAGTTATCTGAGACAGCTGGGGGGAAGCTAGATCCAGCCACCTGTGGTCTGTCTTTTCTGTCTTCTACACTTGCCCCAGTATCTTTTTCATAGAAAGGCTGACCAAATGTTTGCATACCATTTTTAAGAGATTCCAAGTTAGCCCCTAGGAGGGGTCTGCAGGACCCTAAGTGGTCCTGTGGATGGTAAGGTTTCAGGGTATTTCTGTAAAGCTCAAGAAGCACACTTCTGCTCTTATGTGTAGGAGTGTTTTAAATGGGATTTGAATTTGCTATGTTATTTCCACTGGTTGTGGAAATGTGTGTGATAAAGAGCACACAAGCCGGGCTCGGTGGCTCAGCCTGTAATCCCGTGCCTTGGGAGGCTGAGGTGAGTGGGTTGCCTGAGCCTGCGGGTTTGAGACCCGCCTGGGCAGCTTGGCAAGACCTCATCTCTACAATAAATAAAAAAATCAGCCAGGCGGTGGTAGCACATGACTGTAATTCCAGATACTTGGAAGGCTGAGGCAGAAGGGTCATCGGTCAAGGCTGCGGTGGCCGGGAGCAGCCACTGCACTCCAGTCTGAGCAACAGAGCGAGACTCCAACTCAAAAAAAAAAAAAAAAGACATATGCAAACTGGCTGCAATTTTAGCCGGGCTCGGTAGTTCAGCCTGTAATCCCGCACCTTGGGAGGCTGAGGTGAGTGGATTGCCTGAGCCCGCAGGTTCGAGACCCGCCTGAGCAACTTGGTGAGATCTCATCTCTACAATAAATCAAAAAATTAGCCGGATATGGTAGCACGCACCTATAGTTCCAGCTACTTGGAAGGCTGAGGAGGAAAGATCACTGGAGCCCAGCAGATCAAGGCTGCGGTGGCCGGGAGTGGCCACTGCACTCCAGTCTAGGCGACAGAGTGAGTGAGACTCCAACTCAAAAAAATAAAAAATAAAATAAAATAAAGAGCAGACAATAGACTCCATCAGCTATCAGACCCCCTTGGTCATATGTGGCTCTCAGGGGCTGTGTGGGACAGAGTTGTGGCTACAGGGGAGAGATAGTGCAGCTTGACCTCTCTCCATTGCAGACACCACGGGATGCTTCTTGGTTACAAACATTTTTATTCATTTCTTCCAAAGGCTTCAGAGTTTAGTTTGTCTCTCTTCAAATTTTTAGGCCACTACTTTTGTCAAACATAATTCTAAGTTTTAAAGATTTTATATACACACACACACGTGTGTGTGTGTGTGTGTGTGTGTGTGTGTGTGTGTGTGTGCAGTGTAGACAAATTAAGTAATACAAAAGTGCACATACTATTTAATCTAATCTCCACTCTCCTTGGTCAACATTTAGAAACACATAAAATTTCTGTTTCCCAATCTCCTATCTCTGAGCAAGCAGACATAACTCTTAGCATGTTTTCTTTAAAATAGATGTAAAATATATAACACCAGTCAGTCTTTCTTTGACACTAAGACATTACAAGGGCAGAAAAAATGTAGTCTCTAGGTAAAGTGTTAGTCATTCTACTGCAAGGGTTGAAGTAAATTCTGAAGCTTAGAGATCTTTGGCCAAAGAGAGTATAAGATAGGGACTTTTGAAGAAAAGTAAAGAGGATGAACTTTTCAAGGTAGAATGGATAAGGTAGATCCACACAAGCACTTGTACAAGGATGATCTATTTCACTGAGGAGGCAGCAGTCATGAGGTAGTCTCCTGATCATTTGCTATCAAAACACTGAAGACAGGAGTGTTAGAGTAAGGGATCATTGGCATTCACAAAACGCGCACGCGCGCGCGTGTGTGTGTGTGTGTGTGTGTGTGTGTGTGTGTGTGAGAGAGAGAGAGAGAGAGAGAGAGAGAGAGTGTAAGAGAGTGAGAGAGTGGGGTAAGGGAAAGTAAGACATGCTCCCCCACCCCAGGATTATAATGAACAATGATCTACAATACTATGGTAGAAGAATTGCAGTGCAAATAGGAATACTTACAAAGTTTTAAGGCTTTCCAATCCCTTGAACATCTTATGCCGAACATTTTCCAAACGATTACTCGTGAGAAGTATTTCATTTACACCAGAGGCTCCTTCAAATGCTCCCTCCTCAATATCTGTGATCTTATTGTTGCTAAAGTTTCTAAATAAAAATTGTTGGAACAAAGATTTTAAGCAATTTTTTTCTCTAGCAATGAGAGCACAGAAACAACAAATTTGACCATTTTCTTATGCTACACAAAGTCTTCCAGTTTCCAATTTTTCACTTCCCAGCACAGCCAGGACTTTGAAAAGGCTCCACTTCCCTATCCCACCAATACAAAGGGACAATAATACTAAGAGGGAATGAATGTATATGGAAAAAATACCAGATTGATACTTGTCTATATCTACTAGGGTCCCCAGGAGCATAAAATTTTTGAGGTCAGGTATTGGGTCACATAAACCTTTATGTCCTCTATAAAACTTCACAAGGAACTTGCTAAAGAAATATTCCTGATTAAAAGTGTTTTATGAATTGATGACTAAAAGAAGGCAACTCAGTAGAGCGAACAATGGGCTAAAATGTGTTAGTGTTTATACATCAGAAATTTACTTGAACGTGAGCTTATCCCTAGGTAAACTTCTCATGCAATAATGTGTTGAAACGGCAAACTTAACTATCAGTAGCATGTATGATACCAAATATTACAAGAATTGCACAGAGGGCAAAAGTGTCCAGTTGCTGTAACACCCATCTAAAGGCTCCTCACTCCAAGATCAGGAGTGCCCACCAAACAAGGACCATTTTTATGTATATTTTTCTTCCTTTTAGAAAACTGCACATAGCAGCTGCTTAATAAATATTATTGCATTGGAAATTATTTTAAAGCTAAAAAGTTGTGTGTTTAGAAATAATGAAAAAGGATGGTAATTAAGCATTGGAAACCTTTTGGAAGGCAGTGTAATACGGAGGTCAATTACACAGGCAGTGGGTTCGGTCTGCTCTGCCACTCACAGTCTCTGTGGGCCAGTTACTTATGAGGACACACAGACATTGTGAATCGATGCCTTTTTTCTCCTGTTGACATTTCTTCATATATGGAGAGTGTTCCAATGGCCTTACACTCTTAGCTTCTGTACCATCCTTCCCTCACACCTCCTCAAGGGCATGAAGAACGCACTGAGGACTGTTGAAACTGCTGAACTTATGAACTTAATTTTAAAAATGAGTTGTGGACATGTAGGAATGCAGATGAACTATCAAGACAGTTTATTAATCATTAATTTTGACTGTCCTCTAATGAATGTTTAATGAAGCAAAAAGTCAACTAGTTGACATGAATGTGCTGAAAAAGAAATAGCATCATGGTTTGGGGAATAGTAAAGGAAGTTATACAGCATTACGGAACCCATTTTAATGTGCTTAGATTGCTGGATTTATGTTGTGGCCACACAACAGACCAGCTGTCTGAGCTTAAAGTAAGATTCTATGACTCTACAGAAAATGTAGTTGGCATTGTCTGAACACAGAGAAGACTTCTCAGAGATTACCAAAATTCATGTTACATGTAGTCATTCTTTGAAAGTTTCTCTGGATTTTTTTATATTTTTAAACTTTCAAAAAAACTTAACACTATAAAGGTATAGGAAAATACATTTTAACATTATAGAAATTTTAAAATATAGCTAGCGCACGACTTACATTTTACGCAATTGGGGAAGTTTCTTAAAGATTCCTGTGGCCTCCAACACTGTAAATTCATTATTATTGAGACGTCTGGGGAAAAAAGAACAGAGAAGTTTCACCACCAACAGTTAGAAAGAGATTAAATTTGTTTCCTCAAGTGAAGTATAACATTATTTAATGATCCTACGAAGATAAAATATAGAATACATACCACAAAAGATGTGTGGAACATATTAATTTTTTAAATTTTACTTAAGTTTTAATTATGAAAATAAAAAATATAAAGAAGCACACAGTAAGGAAAACCAAAAATTAAAACCAGTTCTCCCTCACTTATCTCTAGAAGACAGTTTCTCAAACTTTTCACTATTGCCCCTTGATATGCATGCTAAGACATTTTTTCCTAATAATTGCTCCATAATTTTCTTCCAATTCACAGCTTTACTGAAATGCAATTCACATACCAGAAAGCTCATTCTTTTAAGATGGCTTTTTAGTATTCATTACTACTAAATGTACTTACTTTTTAGTGTTCAATGTTTTTTTTTTTTACTATAGTCACAAAATTGTGTAATCATCTTTGCTATCTAATTGCAGAATATTTTCACCACCCCCAAAAGAAACCACAACTCATTATCAGTCACTCCTAACTGCACCTCCGCCTCAGTCCTTGGCAACCACTAATTTGCTTTCTGTCTTTATTGATTTTCCTTTTCTGGACATTTCATATAAATGAAATCATATTAAATTGGCCTTTTCTGTTTGGCTTCTCTTGGTTTGTATATGTTTTAAAGGCTCATTTGTGTTGTAACATGTATCAGTGCTTTATTATCTTCTACAGCTGAAAAATACTCCATTATATGGGCATGCCACATTCGTTTATCCATCTGTCAGTCACTGGACATTTTGTGCCACTTCTGCTTTTTGACTGCTATGAATGATACTGCTATGAACACTGGTGTACAAGTTTGTGTGTGGATATATGTTTTCATTTTTTGGGAGATATACACAGGAGTAGATTTCCTGAATCACATGGTTAACTATATTGAACTCTTTGAGGAGTAGTTGAAATGTCTTCTGAAGAAGCTGCCCTATTTGACATTCACACCAGCAATGTACCAGGGTTTTAAGTTCTTTTCTATGTTATTATTTGTTTTGGGTTTGTTTTTATGATAATTTTTTTTTAAAGCAAGATTCATTGAGAAAACAGAAAAGCTCCTACAGTGGGAGGGGAACCAAGGGGTTTGCCCTGTTTTTATAATCAGTCTAATGGGTGGTTTAGGTTTGCATTTCCCTAATGACTAATGACGTTGAACACTTTTTTCATGTGTTTAGTGGCCATTTGTATATCTTATCTGAAGAAAATCCCATACAGATAATTTGACCTCTCTTTAATTGGGTAATATACCTTTTAATATTTGAATTATAACAATTATTTATGTATTCTGGACATAAGTACCTTATGAGACACATGATTTGCAAGTATTTTCTCTTCAGTACTGATTTTATATGTACAATTTAAGAAATTGTAAAATTTTAAAAATACACACAACATTTGCTGAAGTCTAAGTTAGAGACTAGTTTCTACTACAATTCTTCATTAACAAATAAACCTATTTAAGGTGCTGTCATGCTGGAATATATCACTTGTTGATTGCGCCATTAAGGCAATAAGCATAAATTCCTATATGACTATAAAATAGAATTAGGGCTTCTGTTGCACAATCTCCAGATCTCCATGTATTTATAAAAGTCCTGAGGATATGAAGAGCTTCCTAAACCAACAAGATTACTAAAGCATAAATATAACAACAAAGTAGGTAGGTTCTGTCACTCTTTGAAAGGCATCATTTTATTTTTAATTATTCAAATGGTTTAAAATTCATTAAGTACAAGCATGAGTACAGGCCCAGTGGGAGATAAACTATAACACACAATCCTTGTCATCCAGAGGCTATAATCTAGTTAAAGACAGAAGGATTATATACAAAGAGACAACCAATTTTGCAAAGCAGTAAATGACAAATACCAGATGGCTAAGATGTTTGGAAAATGATGAGATTTCTCTAGGTTTTTCTTGAATTGTTAGAACATTAACATTAAAGCTCTCTTTATAAATAAAAGTCAGTAAAGGTAAACCATACACGGGCATAGAATCTATAAATGCTCTTACAAATGTATTTCAGCACCTAGTATGTGCTAGGTCATACATTAGAGTAGTAAATATAGACCCCATCACACTCTGCTTTTTCAGTTTTTCTTTCAATGCTGCCCATTTGTTCAGAAAAAACCTACCATTTCTACTTTAATACCTGATAATCCCTGAGTCCCCCCGACTTGTGAGTCAATGAAGTAGTACAGTAGATAGAAAGGACTCCCTGAATAAATGTATAATAAATGGAGATTCAAAATGGTAGCTCTCAAACTACTTTATTTGATTGCTATAAGAAATATGTTAAAAATCTGTTAAGTGCTTAGAAATGGGTCTGGGCATAAATAGTACCCCCAAATTAAGTATCAAACACTATTATTACTAGCAATATTAAGGGCTAACTGAATTTTAAGAGATTAATTAATTTCTGTAATTGGACTCTTGACTAGAAATATAAACTAAGGTAGCCTCTACTCTCTTCTTGTACAAAGAAGAGTTATGCCAATGTAATGTCTGATAATTAAAATTAATGCAATTATTGAGAATAAAAATTAAGAGACAAAAATTCCTATGCTTCTATGCTTTTATTCTCTCCTGCCCCAACAAGGATTTTGTCAGGAAATGAACTTACAGTTCTGCAGTATACTGAGGAATGTGGTCTGGGATTTTGTTGAGTTTTTGATTGGAGCAATCAACTGTAGTCCCTTCACAGCGGCACTTTTCAGGGCAAGCCAAATCTGCAAAGCAGTCTCCATTTAATTTTGACCGATAGTCTTCCGTACCTATTGAGAATTCAAATAAAAAAAAAAGATTCTGAGTCTAAAGGGTAGAATATTTATTGATTTGTAGGAAGAAAAAAGTAAGAAAACTATAGATTATGTAGCAGGGAGACAACTTGGGGAATTTTGGTCAATGGATGTCAAGAGAGGGTTAAAAGAAAGGCTTGGAATTTTCTGGAAAAAAAGAGTGACCAGATTCACATGACAGGAAAACATTAATAAAGTTGAGCTTTTCACAGCTGTACTTTCTGCTGATCCAATTCTGAGCCATTCTAGCCTATTTCACAGCTAGTCACACAATGGGTATTTATTGTAAAAAAAGTTTATTTTTTTATCCAAGTCAATAATTGAAAATGTATCCAGTAATAAACATATTCCTACATATCATTATAAATTAGGGCTTTCAAGGCAAATAGATGTGCTCAGGCTTTTTGATTTTCTGTGGACTTTTACTATTCTCTCCCTCTCACATAATCTCAGAAATGCCTAAAAAGCCCTCTTTTTTATTTTGATTTTATAGAAAGAGACAGGTAAATCCTAATTTAAGCCTCAGCAGCTTGTCATGCTGTAGAAAGCTGCGTGACGTTCCATGGTGCTTGACGGAACCATGTTTTACTCATACCTCGCAACCACATGGTTAGATCAAGCACAACAGAAAATCTCGCTACATTATCACTACACCAACCACCAGGCCAAAGGTAAGACCAAGAGGAAAGATGAAGGGAAATAGGAGAAAAGCTAAAGACGTTCTGGAAATGTAATACTGTTTACATGACATGCATTCTTCCCGCAGAATGTTTATGACCACAGTAAGAGTATTACTACCGAAGATTTCCTGGAAACACAAAGAAGGGGCAATACGGAAAGGTGCCTCCCCCGTTCCTCAGAACTGCAGAATGGAAACAACAGCTTTCAGGAACAACATCCAGGAAGAAGTTGAAGGTGAGCTACAAGGACAACAGAGAAGCTCAAAAGATCTGTGGTTTCCTCTTGGGGGGAAAAAAAAAAAAAAAAAAAAAAAAAACAGGTGCAAAAGACCAAGACTAGAAGAAGGTACATCAGGATTGAAAAGGGAGGACATTATGTTTCAGATCAGACACTTTTACTTACAGCCCAAATGGTGAATTCCTGCAAAAGTAAAGATCACCAAGAAAGAAAGAAAGACAGAGTAATCCCAATTAAGAATAATATACATATATGTAACTAAGCTCCCTTCTTTCTTTATTATAGCAATTATAGAAAAGATAGCATGGTATAATGGAGATTCTCATGCTTTCTAATTTTATAATACTATTTTGAAGCACGGTGGTCTTACAAGAAAAACAATATTGTTAAAAATGCATAGTAAAAATTAAGTTCTTGTCGATTCCTTTAAAAGAGGAGCTCTCTGAAAGACAGATTTTCTTTTGATTTATCACTGTAATATTTAAAATGCCATATAGGATGGTATTAGACAAGTACACATGTAAAACAGAATTAAAAACTAACCATGGGCATTTTCATTAGTTCATTTGGGTTAATCTTTATGTTTGGGTGTACAGTTTTTAATGTATAAATGCATTAAATGTATTAAATCTTTCCAGCTTATAAATGATGTCACTTAGTGGAAATGAGAATTTCAGAGGAAGTTAGCAATGTTGAAAATAATAGTTTCACTACAGCTGGCAGTTAATGCCATGGTATTTTTTGAGTATCTGTTGTATTATGATTTAAGCTTTATGCCAAAGTGAAATAAGGGTATACAAAGCTTAAGTGATAGATATTCTGGATAGCTTACATTTCAAATAATTTGCATTTAATGCAATGACAATAATGCTTATTTTACTTAGGTTCTTTTGGTGAGCTAAATTTTAATTAAAATTTTGAACCAAAAGAGGACATGGTCGAAAAAATACTTCTGAGTCCTAACTTCTATAATTATTATTTTAAATAATGTAAATTAAATGATTAGAAAATGAAACTTAAGACATTATATCTGATATAAAAGATATGTTCCTAAACCTATTTTTAGCTGCTGTCAATAAAAGGGAAAAGCTCTATTCGAATTAATTAAAAGAACCCGACCTTTGTTCTTTATTTGGTGAGCTGGAAATATTAACATCTCAATTATTAATAAAGTGTATTTAAATAAAATAGTTGGAATAATTTGGTAACAATTACATTAACTGTCAGAATTTGGGGATTTAAATCCTATTAATGCTTTATTCTATAGGTAATCTGGTGTTTAAAATATGCTCTTTCTGATTAAGTGATAGCTATCCGATGACTTTCTACTTAATTGGGTAAAAATAATTAATTTTAAATTAATAATTGGGTCAATGTAGGATAATTAACAGTTCTTTTCAAAATGTTGCTTGTTATGTAATCAGTTTAATAAATAAAATATTGATCATTCAACTTCAAAATAATATAACTAAATCTGTTAAATTCATAAAATTATAATTTAATAATGGCAAATAACATAAATAGAAACCAAAACTGGAGCTTTTCTTAAGAAAATCAGTATAATTTTTCATCCAACACTGTAGAAATGTCATTTTAACTATAGCTTTTGAAGTAGATTACCATCTAGAATATACCCAGGAGATGGTGAATGTGACCCATCAAAACTTAACATGTATTGTTTTATTATGGTTCAAAACAAACAAGTCAAGAGGCATTTTACACAATTGGCAGGCAAGGAAAAATAGGTAAAGAAACATATTTTAAAAGAGCTAGCTCTAGAATCATCAGTTTTGATAGTGTTACAATTGAAGTGGTAAATCACTGGGATTACTTTTCTTAGGAACATTTTATCCATCTGCCTAAATTATTCAAAAGATTTAATGTCTGTGAACTTCTGATGCTTTCACATCAGGCATCAATATTCTTTCTGTGGAGTTATACTGTAATTCTGGATATGCAAGAATGTAAAGTCACAAAGTGAGGAACCACTGCATATAAACCAGCAGGAAGCTGCTGTATGTGAGTAAAAACTGAAGCAAAAGTAAAACAGTAAGTTTACTTCTTAGTTTAAAAAACTGTTTAAAAAAGCAAATCTCATCATTGAAAATGCAGTTCTGTGTGCTTGCAACTGATTTCATGTAGAACTAGCTCTTTGAAAACAGAAAGGTCTGTCTTTAAAACCAGCTCAACAAGCTGTATTTTAAAAACAGATAGAAAGATCAGATATACAATGTAAGGAGAGAAAATGATTTAAGTAGAAAGCCATAGTTTCAAACATTTTAGATACTGTGTGATATTTTAGAGAATGCACCAAAGTAAAAGAGAGAGAAAAATAGGTGGACTTTAATAAGATACATGTTGAACATCAGAAGCTGCATGCAAAGGTCAGGTTTTCAGGAAACAGCTACAAGTGATCTATGTATAAATCAATCTATCTATAGGGGATCCAGTGTACTTTCAAAAGCATGCATATCAAAGTTATAGAAAGTATATTTTATAAGGTGAGGAGAAGGTGTCTGCAGTTAGTCCTACCACCAAGCAAAACCTACCTGGAATGAAATACTGTTCTTTAGCTAAATAAAAAAAAAGAGAAAAAAAAAAATAGAAGATGCACCTGAATGTCAGCAAGCAGAGATATGAGTTATATTAGATTCAGAATGGCCTAAAGTTACTATAATTAAGTGAAAAATGTATATTCACAGCTGTGGCTGAAGTCCAATAATGTACAGTGAGTATTAAATGCATCTATAATTATGGACAATAACCAGCTTGGCTCTGATATTAGCTTTTTAGTATAAATTAACTGCCGAAAGTGAAATACGCTTAGAATAGTTAGGTAATGTACTACCAAAAACATGTAGAATGTATTCTACTATATGAAAACAGAAAATATTAGATCAAAGCAAATAGTAAATTTCAATGAAGTAATCTTTTTATTTAATATTTTTTCAATGCATTCATATTTACCTTTTCTAAATACATGTGATATTTTCAAAATATTAAAAAATAGTCTTTTTGGAAAAAAGTACCCTCATATTTTTATGCAAAATAAGAGAATGCAAAATGACACAGTGCATTCAGACTGAGGAGCAAGAGATCAGGAGTCCCCTTCTGCCCCTGACACTTCTGAGCCCAAGCAAGTCATGAAACCAAGTCTCAGTTCACTGTCTGAAGTAATTAAAACATGATTCATTATTTTAGGTTGGCCATTAGAAAATAACACAACAAACATGTGACTTATACTTTGAAGACATTCTGAGTCAGCTAAATGGCCCTTGTTAAGTGCGAGCCCTGGGAATATATAATCAAGTATCTAGGTATCTTTTGAACTTGGTCAACAGCCTATTTCTTCCCACAGTGTTAAAAATGTTACACATAGAAGTATTTGGATGGTGTCTACAGTTCACTTTATTTTTCTCTTCGTGGGCAGAAGAAAAAGAAATGTTATTCTACAGTGTTCAGTCAGCAGCCAGCTGTCTTTGTTAGGTCTCACATAACCACTGCTTTGGTCACAGGGGAAATATCACATGAAGTAAGAAATTACCTGAACAACGAAATTTCTTGCTTTTGATTTGTCCAATTCTTTTGTTTGCCAGACGGCGGGGGCTGGTGCAGCGGGCACCACTAGTCTCAATTGGGTTGGTATGGAGATAATCCGCCAGCCACTTGAGATGGCAGTCACAGATAAAGGGGTTCTGGGCTAAATGCCTTTGGAAACACATACAAAACAATTTTTCAGATGACTTGCAATGGACTCAACTCTCACATTCAGAGTGAAAACAATGGTCATTAATTTGATCCAAATCATATATATACATACATAGTTTGAATGGCCCGAAGAGGCGAAAAGGTCCCCTTGGCAATGGTCTGAAGCTTGTTGTCATATAAAGAGAGGAGGTTCAAGTTGTGAAGATCCTGAAACGCATCTACCCGAAGGCAGTTTATCTTGTTGGCATTCAATAATCTGTTTGATCAAATAGTTGTAGAATTAAAGTGCAGCATCACATTAGCTCACCTGCAAGATGTTGTCATTTTTGAGAAAACCCAGTCAAGAAATACATTTCTTTTGATCTCAGAGTTAACCTTGGGACTAACCATTTAGGTATTACCGACTGGAGATTTGGGATTTTACTATGTAAAGCAAGAGTCATGTAGTCAAATGAACCTACATCTAGTGGTATTATACATGTATTCAATAAAAATTATAAAACATTTTCTCTTGAAGAAGTAGAGGTAGAATAGTATGCAAAGGTGTGTAAGATCCAGTGCCTGTTAATGAGAACATGATAAAAACGCTATAAAACATTATTAGTCCCTCAAGTTGTTCTATGGAAAAGTGGTCTTTCAGTCTATTACTCAAAGAGCAGCTAGTGTGGTCCTTCTAAACGTAGATCAGATCATGTCACTCCACTCTCAGAACCACGCAACTGTTTTCAAGTGGCTCTGAGCAAAGGCCTGCGTCTTCACAATGGCCTGACTTGAAACCCACCCTTCGGAACTCTGCAACCTCCCACTGTCTCCTCCCAGCTGGTCTCTCTATCAGCCACCAGTCTCCTCACTCTTACAAACATGGAAGTCTTTCTTATTATCTGAAATATTCTTCTCCAAGATGTCTGCCTGGTTAAACACTTTGCCTCCTTAAGGCTGTTCAAAATCTTGCCTTCTCAATCCAGGTTTCCCCGATCCCTCTCCTTAATAGCTGCAGACTGTCTGCCCCTGTCCCAACCCCTAGAACTTTTAAGTCCCTTTACTTTGATCTACTCTATTTTTTAAAGTATATATTTACTTCTGTTATATATAACTTTTTTTTTTTTTTGAGGTTGGAGTCTCACTCCATCGCCCAGGTTGGAGTGCAGTGGCATGCTCACGACCACCTGAGCATCCACCTGCTGGGCTCCGGTGATTCTTCAGTTTCAGTCTTCCAAGTAGCAGGAACTTTAGGTGAGTGCTACCATGCCCAGGTGATTTTTTATTAGTGTAGAGAGGAGGTCTCGCCAAGTTGCACAGGCTGATCTAGAACCTGCGGGCTCAGGCAATCCACTCACTTTGGCCTCCCAAAGTGCTGTTATACACAACTTATTGATGTCATTGCTGACTGTTATTTGTATGCATCCCCCAGTAAACCATCCATATATAAAGGATCTTTGTCTATTTTGTCCCCTTTATTTCTCATGTGCCCAGCACATACATGGGACTCATTAAATATTTGAGGAATGAACACTTTATAACCCTCTTGGAAAGTCACACAGTGTATTACTGCAGTAAAGACTGCAGTCCTGCATTATAAATACCTGTTTAACTTTTTAACACAATATCCCACAAACTAATTTTTTTCCAGATATACTATACCAATATTATGTGGAACTGTGGTTCATAGATCATACTTTGGCAAACATTCTTGTGGGCTCAATGTGACTGTGTCTGAGCTTTCATTCACGCAGGGCTTGGCTTTGGGAATGCACTTTCTCCTCTCTCCAATTTCTTCTACCTTTTCCAAAACGACTTCCACCTATTAAAATACTCTTTCCTCTGGTCCCTGAGGCCATTATTCCCTGCCATGCAGTCTTCTCATCTATTACACAGACCTACTTATTTGCCCAATGAGTTTTGCATTCTTTGGGTAGGATTTTTTATATTTTCTTTCTTCTTCATCACCATTTAGTTTAGCATTTTGATACTTAGAACTCTAACAAATATTTGGTAGCTCAAAAAAAAAAAAAAATGTGCCGTGTGACTTACGTTTCCCTCATTGTCAAACATACCAACAACTATTTTCTCTTTTGACAATAAAACAATCTCTATCGTTAGTTAACACTGGGTATTTTCAAAAGTAATAAAAGTAACTTTTACTTACATTTTTTTTTGGGGGGGGGAAGCAAAACTAGGACTTTCTCATAGTGGCTGTCTTTGCTGTGCTCTTAGATTCTTCATCAGGAGTTGAAGGTTTTGGTCTTCCCTCTGGTATATCTAATACTTCCTTTAAAAGCCCTCACAGGGTGGTTAAGGGTAGAGACTATTTAACTCCCTACCTCTCTACCCTGGAACATGACACAGTAATGCTGCCCATGTTTCAAATTCATAAGCTAACTGAAGAAAGGTACTAGAGGGCTCTCAATTAAGAACAAGCAAATAGTTGGGAGCCAGGAGAAAGAAGACGCTGTCGTACAACGTTTTACATCTATGCAGTTTGTACTCACTGCAAATCAATATGACCCAAGAAATAGGAAAATACATATTGAACACTGATTTATTTTGTTTCTTTCATGTACCTGTCTCTTCTCCCTTAATATCTCATCTGTTCAAACAACTGTAAGACACTTAACTTTACCGAGTTCTCAGTCAGCTGTAAAGTGACAACCATGCCATTTATCTCCTGATAGGTAAGGAGGAGGCTTAATCTAGAGATGAAATATTGTAAAAGCAGCTTTGTACGTAGGTTTTATCTAATCATATTTCCATGTCTTCTTACCATGTTTGCTACACCAACAACCAATAAGTGTATATGGAAAGAAAAGAAAGGTGAAATTTAAGTGGTGGTAGTAGACAGGGCAGTCATACAGTGCATTGCTCAATGCACTTCTCAATCTAGCTTTCCCCAATTGAGAGCAACTGGAATGGAGAGCAACTCTAGAAAGATGTAGACGAATGGCAGAAGGATGAGTTACAAGAAGGCAATAACTGGCGACAGCATCAAGCTATATCCACCATGTGTATAGATATCTATAATATGAACAGAACTATTTCATAAAATCAGAAAGAATATTTGATAACTTCACTGGAAACTTTTGAAAAATCCAAATAAAGGAATTATGTCATGAAATCCGTATTTACCATGACTCATCGGTCTATTGTAAAATAAATGTACTGGATTATGTAGCATTAAGAAAACAGAGAGAGAGAGAGAGAGAGAGAGAGAGAGGGTGTGGACAGAAAAGAGAACACTTTACGTAATAAGATGCAGCATTGGTTTGGTAGCATTTTGCTTCATTTGTTTGTATGTTGTGTGAACTGAGTTTTATGATGTAAAATACATTTCTGCAGAATAGTGCAAACGTTTAAGACATGACCAAGAGGACATATTACGAATATGTTTGTCAAGTAAGAAATAATATCTGTGTTTAGGAAGATTGTATGATTAGGAGCGAATGTTTACTAGACAAATGCCAGTAAATGACGATATTTCAAAGAGAAAATAACATTCTTTTAAAATTTGATATATTAAAGATTTATTCATTTATTTATCTAATTGTTTTTTTCTGATATTTTTCTCTTTTAATTTTTATTTTAAAATTATGGGGTGCGATTCAGGGCGGGGTACACAAATACTTATCGTGCAGTTACCTTTGTTGATGAGGTGTGCTCTCCTACCCCAGACAGATATCGACTACTGTCAATTCAACTTTCTCAACCCTGCCCTCTCCTCCCTCCGCAGTTTCCAGCTACTGTCAATCCTTTTCTTATAGTATTACGGTAACATTCTAAACTTGAGTATTGAAAGGGAGAACAACTAGTTGAGAAAAGCCAGTTGGAAAAAGACATTGTATAATACTTGTTGTATCCAAAGCATCTGGGCCAGTGTTTGCTCCAAATGAGGTAAGTGTTTGATGATTTGAACAGAATTTGATGATCTAATACTAATGGTCTTATTATTTGCATTTTTTTATTTGTTCCAAGTTTACTCTTCATGCATTCAAGCACCTCAGGTCAACACACCTGCTTGTTACAAATATGTATAGCAAATACTTGTCTTCAGACAAAGTGGTAGCTACTGTGTAAGCAGAATGGTCTTTCGTTTACGGATAATTCTCTCACAAAGGGAAGTTGGAGGAATGCTGTTGTGTTATAGTCATTGCACATCATCTTTGTGTTTGGGGAAGTTATTCTAGCACTGCAGTTCCTGCAGATTCCTTGAAAAGGTTCATAAACATATTACCATCTCTCTCTCCACTCCAACTATTGTTTACATTAAAATGGAGATGTTTCACAAGGACAGGGATAGTATAATCTTTAAATGATAGAGCAGCCAAAATGCATGCATATGGGACAATGTAGAGATGAAGGTTTTGGGACGATTCCAAAAAGTTGTGTCTTCAAGTAAATAACCATCAATGTTAGCTCCACTAGACTGACATTTTCTATTCCATTAAGTTGCATTATTTTGGGACACATTTTTCTGAAGCCTCCATAAAAATATGAGATGGCAAATCATCTAATATATATTACTAGGCTCAACAGATCCAAAAAGTCAAATACTTACAGTAGCTGTAAGGAAAACAGTCCTTCAAATAAACTTTTAGGGAGTTCCGTGATTTTATTTCCATAGAGGACACTGAAAAAAATATTTTAAATGAAAAAAATTAGACACTAAGTCTACATAACAAACTTCATCTAGTACACTTGTATTCAGGCATTGAGGAGGTTAGTAGATTCTCAATAATACATCATAATGTTACAGTTAAGTAAACAAACTTCATTTGCAAATGTCATTTGCCTGATTACAGATCAGAAGTACTCTTTCTGTAGAAAATTTGGAAAACATATAAAAACAAAGAAAAATTAACAAAAATTAATATAATTTCATAATTTCACTAATATAATTAAATAAATTCACTAATAGAATGCTCCCTATAAAATAGGGTGTTTTTCTTCACACATGCATACACAGTTTGTGTAGAGTACACTATATATAACAAAGAATACGACTAACTGTAGAATTCATTGCTCATTAACAGAATGAGTTTGGGTCTCATAATACAGGTAAGCAGTAGAAGAACCCACACAGACGTCAGACTTTAAAACATGTAATTTGTATGCTTAAGACACATAATATCTCTGAAGATGGTGATCCTGGATATAAATTTAGGGGAATTTTTGAAATTTATATCCCCCCAAAGAAATATAAGCTGAAAGGAATCATCAAAGAACCCACCTCTGACCAGGCAGTTATTTTGCCACCAAGGGCATGGACCACGGCTTAATCACCTCAGTATACCTGGAGTGCAGCATAGGTTTTGGCAAACAGTGAGGTTCTAACATGGGACTGATGAGTAAAATGATGATAATGAGCAGAAGAATAAATTAGTGAATGCACTAACAAGAAGAGTGAAGTGGGGGCATTTCAAGAACAAATGAATAGAAATGGTTGACTCACCATGTTGGTTATCAACAGTAGGTGTACAATGATGTCCATCTATTTTTAGCCCCAAAAGTAAGGTACCAGAACTAGACAGAAATTATATTCTGAGGGGACATTTTGGCAATATGTCTATTAAAAGTCATAAAATGTATATATGCATTTTAACTTAGTAGTTTTACTCTTAGAAGTTCAATTTATACAAATAACTAGAGGAGAACAATATTTTGTGTACAAATTATAGCCACAGTATAATTTTTAGCAGCAAAAAATTAAACACAAATAAAATGTTCCCAAACTCCAAAACAGGGGATGGTAGGAATCAGGTTTACAAGGATATCTAGTGACATAGAAATGCCCATAATATAACATCATTTAAAAAAATGTATTACAGTATTATGTTAATTTGTTTTAAAAAATATCTATATATACACTCATGTAGAAAATATGTATATGGCGGCTGAATTTGTCATCCAGAGGTGAATTAGATTTGCATCCATACATTCTTTAAAATAAGCATATATTATTTTCAAAAATCAGAAATCAATTCTTTGAGGAATGAAGTAAGTGGAAATTATAATATATAAAGGAAAAAACTGAAATGAGCATCTAAGTAATTAATATATTTGGAAGCAGTACATGATTTTTGTTTGAACTGGAAAAAATAACACTAGAGGGAGGAACAAGAGAGAGAGAACAGTTGTTTCCCCTTTAACATATCAGAGAGAGTTGGGGTATATTACAACATCCAAAGAATATTCTTAAGGGAGTAAGTTGACCTGAGTGCTACTATAGTGTAAAGAGACATTCCATTTGTCTCTTTAGATTCCAGTGGTAAAGCTATAAAACATACAATTTCAATCATACAGAATATGAAATTTTTTAGCAAGGCAAATCGATTATTGAAGAAACAATTTAAAAATCAAAGAACAGAAGAGAAAATTCTATATTGTCAGGAACAAGGCAGAAAGGGATTTAAGAACTGGTAAAGCATGCATAAATACATGTTTTCAGGTCAAGAATAAGAAGAGAAGACATCAGGGGAAATACAAATGAGCAGATTGAGATGGCAGACTATCAGACTATTCAATTCAGTGTCATTAAATTAATTCACTGAACATTGGATATTGTATGCTTACTATGTGCCAACAACTTTGCTTGATTCTAAACCTGGTGCCCAGTTAAATGGAATGCAATGATTATTTTTTTGACTGTCCGTCATTTGTCCAGGTGCCAGGCACTGATATGACTGAAATGAAGAAACCATTTTTAATGAAACCATTTTCAATGAACAATCCAAAAGAGTAATTTTGAGTACTAAAAAAAATTCTCATGATTTCAAATCCATTGCAATTTAGAAAGGATCAAAGATATGTATAAATTGTGGGGAACCTACATTAGAATCAAGGGCGGATAATTTTTTAGGTTGTTCATATGGGACTTTTGCTCAAAGTTTGGTTCAAAAGAAGTCTGGCAAGGAGGTGCTTCATATTTAGGTTGTGATATTTTTAACAGATCATTCTGTTTTCTTTAAAACTGTGTTTAAAGATAATATGCTTACTTGTTAATGAGACAAATAGTTAAATGGTTAAAAAAAATGAGAGGTCACACTACAATGCAGAAAATCTATCTGTATTAGTATATGAACTATCAACCACAAATATATCATAATAAAAAATACTAAACGTGATGGGAATGAAATTTCTCTACATAAAGGCACAGTAATACTGGGGCTGGGTACAGTTATTTTACACAGCAATGAGATCAAAATGTCAGCCAGGAAAATAAGTTGAGAATATGAGAATCCAAAGACCAGCATAGAGAACTCTGGATGGCAGCCAAGGAAAGAGGGCCAAAATCTATTTTTAAAAAAGGGGAAAAGATATATCATCATATAAAAATGTAAAGTGAAAGAAGGCAGTGACAATTTGTGTTAGGAGAGAGAGAAAATTTAAAAAGAAATTGAAAGATAAAAATGAATTCAGCTGAAAAGAAAATATATACATGAGAGATGTGAATAATATCATCCAAATACCAAGAATGACAAAGTGGGTACCTTTGTCATGACTTATACTCAGCATACTATATGCAGAATACAATTATGCTGATAGAGAATATTTTTAATTGTCTCCTGGAACAACAGGGAAATCTTAAGGCAGTTCTTGTAACCTGCTGCTAAAAAGAAGGCTACATATTCTAAATACAGTTTAATCCTTCTGAGTTTCAACAACAGGACAATAAGAGACAGTAACTACCAGCAGCCAGTCTTTGAGTTCTGCCCTTGTTGAAAGCTGGCAGAAGACAGAACTCCTTTTTAAGAGGAAAAAAAATGTCTAACATAGAGACATATAAGATGCCTATCATGAAAAAAGGAGCCATGGGCAGACTTCTTTACTCAACAATGCATACGTTTGAGAATTATAACACTAAGCAATTTTCAGGAAGAGTACAGTAAACAGAAAGCAGAGATGTTATATCTTCATTTTCATTAAAAACCTGTAGTAAGACACAAGATTCTGAGTTGGAATGTTAACAGCAGTCCAAGAAAAGACTGTAAGAAATTTAAGTACTATAAAGAAGTTTTTTACTCTAGATTCCTGTGGAAGCTGGTAGCTAGTAAATGAAAAGAGAAAATTAGAGTAAGTGAATTACAATAGTTTACAATGGGCCAATGGGAAAAATAGATAATGAATGCTTTTCCTCCATATGTCTGCATTAGTTGCACAGATTACTCTCATATTTCAAATCTTCAGGTCTCAGTCTGATATCACCACCTTGGGCAGCCTTTGTTGATCGTTCAATTTAAAATGTCAGCTTCTCTCCAACACAGCATTTCTTACCTTTTGCCCTTTATTTTTATTCATAGTATTCCATCTATAAATAGATAGATTTATTCTGTAAATAGATGGAATACTATGCATATATGCACCGTACATTCCATAAATAGATGGAATACTATGAATATATGCACTGTACATTTTATCTATACTATAAATTTTGCTAGTTAGTCTAGTTTATCAATGGTCTCCTCTATGGGGGAGGAATTTTTGAGGTCTGTTCACTCATGCATCTCCAAAGCCTCCAACAGGACTAAGATACAACAAGGTTTCATACATTTCCCTTACATATAATTGTGGTTAAAAGGCCAAAAGAGCTATTGCAAATATGTGTAATTGTATATTTTATGGAGGAGGAAAATAAATTAAACTTTGGAAGGCCGTCTCAAACTGTGAACACAATCAAGAAAGTGATACAAGTTATAACATATCCGCTTTCTCTAAGATAGCTTAGTTATTTGACTCATTCCCAGGGTATCTGTTTTATAACATCATAGGGCATGATGCAGGTATCCAGGAGCAGAAAATCATTCCTGCTCTTCCATGAACTGCTATGTTTTGACGTGGAAATACCCCAATAACTTTACTCCCTCACTTAAATGCAGGTCCATAAGTAAAGATAATGTTTTTCCTACACCTTTAAAAAAAAAAACAAAACCATGTGTGGGCATGCTCTCATCATGAAGACTGAAATCCCCATTTAGCAAGCATTTCTTGTACATGTGTTGCCATTCTGTTTCCTTTTTGAACCTGACAGTCTGGCCTGAGAGTGGTACATGACTATACTCTGTGTTTTCTGCCAACAACTGTTCCTCTAGTTGTTGGCTTCCTTTAGCCAAAATCCTCCAAACAAACAGAAAACAAAAATGAATTCAAGAAGATACCGCAGCTTAAGTAACAGTTTTCCATTTTCTCTCTTTAAAGAAAACAGTAGTTTCTGAGCACACCAACATAGTAATCAGAACACCCATGTGCTCCGATGAGCACAACGATCTAGTTCCCCCCTTGGTAAGAGTGAAAGCAAATCATTCTACAAACTCCAGGGGTTTATCTGGGTCTCGCACATGTGGATCCTGGCATTCTCACCAGCTACCACTGACCTCTGAAATGTGAAGGAGCGCTGCAGGAATTTTACATCAATAGGAACTTTTCTCTGAGCATCAACTCCTAAAAAATGAAAACATGCCAGTCTCCACTTTCAAACTTCAAAGTTTTCTACAGGAAAATTACTTACTTGGTGGACTTTTGAATATATTTTTGAAGGAATTACAGCCCTTATAAACTTATTTTAGAATTTCCTTAATTTACATAGCTATCTGACTGACTGAAAGTCCTCTTGATATTAAAAAGCTGTCATATTTCTTATCTTTGTTCTTTGAGAGATTAAAGCAGGAAAGTCTTAAGGTTATGAAACGAGGAGTGGAGGGTGTTTCTCACGGGTCATCTTCAACAATTCTCAGCAAGGCTTCACTCAGCGTCATTTTAAAGGGGACTAATATTGTCATCAGACACAAAGGCTATAGACTTTACAAAATAAACATTTTCTCAGTCTTTCAGAAAGAAAACCATTTCATAAGAGGAGCTCTACCTCTTGCTCTCTTAACAGCAAAATTATCCAACCATAAAATATATACCCCTAAAAATTGGCCAATTTCAGTGACACATAGCACTTCTCCATAAGAAAGATGGGATCCATTAATGATTATTATTAATTCACAATTTAGAATTAAAACATGAAAAATTTTTTAAACTCAAATTTTAAAAATGCAGCCACTCTTTATTGTGGGTTCTGTTTTCCTTCTTGACACAGTCAACACTTACAGTGAATTCAGAGAGCGCAGTCCTTGGAAAGCATCTGGTGCAAGTTCAGAGATTTGATTATTGCTCAGGTCGCTAAGATTAGAAATAAGGTTAGGTTAAATAAGATAGAATGTCAGAGAGATTTACTGCAGGAGAAAGCTATATATAGTTTTTACATACTGGTTTTGGACCTATCAGTACATGTATAAAATGCACAACATAAAACATCTGAAGAATACGTAATTTTAAAAAGAATACTTAATTAAAAAAATCACACTTAAAAAAAAAAAACATTTTTATAATCCTAAATAATTATTAAAGATTCCATGTCTTATTTTTGACATGTGCATCCTGGCATTCTCACTGGCTACATTTAATAATTTGCATAATGACTTGACCACATACATTTACATTTGTGTGTGACTCAATATATTAAATTACAGTTTAAAAATTACATAGTTTAGATGTTACGATTAAAATGCTATTATAAAACTAACAATGAGATAATCAGATTATCTAATATTTAAGCTGTCAAGCACTTAAATATTCATACTTAGGTTTCTTTGCATGGTCATGACTTAATTTTTTAAATTACATATATTCTAGAATATTGTTCACTCACATTCTTCTAAGCTTTTTATATGGTGAGAAAGCTCCAGGAGGAATGACTTTGATTGAGTTCTGTTCCAAACGTCTGCAATGAAAAAATTCAGTTTTTAAATGGAAATGTGAATGCTCAGATATGTTTAATTCAAGCTCAGGATTCATGCCAAGAAGTAAAGTTGCTGCTTTTCATAAGCGATATTTTATTTTTCCTCAAAAATGACTATTAAAATTATTTGTGATGCTCTCTAACTTTAGCAAAATTAAGATAAAAAGTAAGGGAATTAGAAAAATAACACAAATACTCAGACTTGTAATATTACAGGTCCACCTTTTTAATTTTTTTTGGAGTCAGAGTCTCACTCTGTGACTCAGGCTGGAGTGTAGTGGCACGCTTATGGCAACTGTAGCCTCAACCTGCTGGGCTCAGGCGATCCTTCTGCCTCAGTCTTCCAAGTAGCTGGAACTACAAGTGTGCACTACCACGCTTGGCTTATTTTTTTATTTATTGTAGAAACGAGGTCTCACTGAGTTGCCCAGGCTGGTCTCAAACCCCTGGGCTCAGAAAATCCTCTCACCTTGGCCTCCCAAATTGCTGGGATTACAGGCTTGAACCACCGCACCCAGCCTCATCAATATTTAAATCTGGACTTTGTACAAGAGAAAACACCTAAAGTGTACATTTTTTGTAACATGAATATAGCTAAGAGAAATATGTAGCTACACTGAAGAGAAGTACTGCATGTCTTAGAGATAACCAAAACCTTCCAGAAAATTACTGTTGAATATTAAATTTTATAAACCTTTCATTTCTTCTACAGAAAGCACAATATAGATTAAAAATAATTGTTATGCTCACAAAATTAATTTTGAAACTTCTTGTGAAGCACCATCTTAAATTCTAAATCCATAAGTGCTATAGATAAATTTTCAATAAGACAGTCTGAACTCTGTTGATTCATTATTTGAGTGTTACACATAAAAACCACTGCAGCAAAATGCATTCAAACACAACTGAAGTATTTTTATACTACACTAAAATCACAGAGTTGAAAATAACTCTGACATCATCTACTCTATGGTCCTGGTAGCAGAAAAAGACAAGGTTTACTTGTAAAAGACACAAAGAAGTAGATCTCATGAAGTCTTCTGGTAAATATTTTAGTACATGTTGCCTTTTAGCCTCTTTTCTCTCCCTATAAATAGCCTTACACACATTTCCCATTCCTTTTTCTTCTGTTCTGCTCTGAATTCCAGAGAGTTGACTCGGAACCATGTATCCTGGGCTCACTTGCCAAGTAGCTTCTGTGAGATTGGGAATGAGAGACACCGGTGGGAGAATGAAGGGTGGGGGAGAGGTCAGGGTATTTCTCCCCTTCTCTGTCTCTGGAGATGTCCACAGCAGTGGTCTCATCTTTCTTCTTAATTTTAGCTCCTGCTGGTGACCACCTCCTTACTTTATGTAACACATTCTTCCATTTTTGAAGCCCTGGGAATGGTGGCCACTTTTTCTCTCTGCCACCTTCCTACAACGTTTAACCCATTTTCCACATTAAACCTATTTTTCAATAGAAAAATAAAAGTCACCTAACATGGGTTCCATATGCCTGCCTGGATTTTAAAAAATATATGCATAGACATAAATAGATAGATATGTACCTATGTATTATATATACATACACATATGTACATATTTAAATATTTATGTATAAATATAATGACTATATATTGACGATATATGTGTAATATACGTTGGTTCATTTTTAATGAATGTTGGTAATAGTTTTCTTTCTTTCTTTTTTTTTTTTTTGAGTCACGGTCTCATTCTGTCACCCAGGCAGGAGTGGAGTGGCAGCTCCCAGTCACTGCAGCCTCGATCTGCTGGGCTCAGGTGATCTTTCTGTCTTGTCCTTCCAAGTAGCTGGAATTTACAGGTGCATGCCACCACACCCAGTAATTTTTTTTTTTTTTTAATTGTAGAGATGAGATCTTGCGAATTTCCCCAGGCTGGTCTTGAAGCCCTGGGCTCAGGCAGTCCTCTCTCCTCGGCTTCCCAAAGGGCTTGGAATTACAGGCATAAACCACTTTGCCAGGCCAGATGTTGGTAATCTCTCTCTCTCTCTCTTTCTCTCTCTCTCTCTCACACACACACAAATTCTTCACTAACATTTAATAAAAATAAAACCAAAATGAATAAAATATCTATAGAAGGTTATGTCAAACTGCCTACATTTTTTTTCTTTTCTGAATCCAAAGCACTTCTCACAAAGCCATGGTTTCTTCACCAGTCTCAGGGCTAATTCTCTGACCTCCTTATCTCTACACGCAATGGGTTTCCTCAAGTTCCACTACTTTCAAACTCACTGTAGTATTTGATATCACTAACAATCCCTCTTCTCATGGATATGACATTATATTCCTCTGGATCTTACTGCACTATTTCTCAATTCTTTCTCATCTCTTCTCTCTCTGAATTTATGGCTTCACCTTCTAATCTCTTAAGTTATTTCCCCCAAGCTTCTATTCACTCCTCTCTCATACAAAAGGTAAAATTATTTGGCTATCACCTGCAATTTTTGTCATTTCTCCTTATGCAAAAGACAGAAGTTTAGGTAGTGTAAAAATATGCAAGGAAGAAAATTAAAATCACTCATAATAATGCACTACTAAGATCAGTAAATTTTAATTTAGTGTTTTTTCCCCTGTATTTTAGTGTATTATTAACAATTTTGGAAGAAATTATATATACCTTTATAATATTCCATTGTCAAAAATGTATCCTATTTCCTTAATCCTTCTCCTTTGTTAGACATTTAGGTTAGTGATAATTTTACAGTATTATTAATAACGCTTAGTTATTTTAATATAACAAAAGTATAGCCTCCTTTTAAATATTTAGTTTTCTTTCATTTTTCTCAGGTATAATTACTTGTGCCTTTCCCTGTATGCTCTTAACTCCTCTGTTTTTATTTTGTTGCATTCTATTCATTTTTCACATATCCCTGCTCACCAGGTTGTTGGCTCCTTATGGGTAGATTTGCCCTAGAAGACAGGAAGTCAACTGTAAAAAATAAAATACAGATTTGGCATCTGCATTATTTATCTAGGTCTTAAGAAACAATACTTTTGTCAAAAGATCTAAATATAGCAAGAGGCATTTATGTCATTTTTTTGTTATTTTGTTGATATTGGAATGCTTTGATTAATGGTTTAGAGAAATGCTTTTACCTTCATTAATTCTTGTGTTAAATTTTAAGAAGTTTAAAATATAAAAACACAAAGAACATTAAAAAACCCATAAAAACACAAAGAAAGCAAGTTTAAATAAAACACTATTGACTGGTTAGAAGACTTTCTTCAAATCCTGGCCCATAAAACACAATTTCTACGTGTTAAAAATATTCTCATGGTCGGGCTTTGTGGCTCAGCCTGTAATCCCGTGCCTTTGGGAGGCTGAGATGAGTGGATTGCCTGAGCCCGCGGGTTCGAGACCCGCCTGGGCAACTTGGCAAGACCTCATCTCTACAATAAATCAAAAACTAGCCGGGCATGGTACCGTGTGCCTGTAGTTCCAGTTACTTGGAAGGCTGAGGCAGAAGGATCGCCAGAGCCCAGCAGGTTGAGGTTGCAGTGGCCGGGAGTGGTCACTGCACTCCAGCCTGGGTGACAGAGTGGGACTCCCACTCAAAAAAAAAAATTCACAATAACATACTGCTATGATGAGAAAAAATTAATAAGTTTTTAATTGAAAAATTAATATTTCTAAGTGATTAGATTTCTTTCAATAATAATGAAAAGCTAGTTCATATATTACTTTTCATAGATATCATTTTAAGTTCTTAATCTAAAGAAACAATGAACATACATTCACTCATTTACTCTACAAATATTTAGTGTCTACTCTGTGAAAAATACTAGGCAACATGATGGGAATTCAATAGTGATTAAAAACAGACATGCTGATACCCTCAAGGAGAGCTCATTAATGAAGCTAATTTCAAAACTAGTCTTTTCAATACAAGTTTTTTTTTGATCTGTATTTAGTATTGAGACTTACAAAATGCCAATAACCTTAACTCACAAATGTGGACAAACTAATTCACTAATTTAATATAAATGATGACCTCCCTTGAAAAATTTAAAATTAATTCATTATTTTAAATTCTCAGAACCTAAAATACTAATAATGATCACTAATTTTTTTCAATGGCATTCAAATATATGTTGCCATGGTAATTTATGTGTTTAATCAACAATGCATTACATTGATATATATCTCTGTTGGAGCAAAGAAAAAGGTTTAGAATAAATGAGTCAATTTTTTAGAAGATGCATATTTATAAAACAAGAATTCCTAATGAAATGCTATTATATTTTTTACACAAAAATAATACTGCAAGCGTAATACAGTGTTGCTGCATGTATCTTCTGTAATGTACCAAGACTTGAACTTTATACTGCAAACTATTTCACTGAAATGAGGTACAACAGAAAGCTAATCAGTAATTTGTACAATAGATCTGCTTATTTTTATTCATTTATTATTTTCAACTTAGTTAAAAAAGTATTTGAAACTGAGTTTATGGTGTTATTAACACTGATTAAGAAGCTATTTGAGTTTTATTGCAATGTCTCAGCAGTTCATTAAAGCAAAACATAATTGTACTCTTCATTCAAAGAGACAAATTCATAAGCAGAAAAATATTCTACCATTGACAGATGTCAAACAATAAATTGCAAAACTTTAAAAAATGTCTGTTGTCTCTTCTTTGGTAGATAAACAATAAACTAAAGTTTACTTTTTGGAAACATTTAGGTCTTTAGGGAAAAAGCCTTTCCCATTTAATTACAAGAATTTTCAAATACATTTGATAAACTAAGAGTCACACTCATCTCAAAGGGTGTCCTTTTTCCTATAAAAAGAGGGAAAAGTATTTAAACTAGATTATAAAAAATAAGGAAGAGAAATATTAGAGTTTTCAGGTAAGGGTTAAAAAAAAGCAAATAAATTTACATTTTATTGCATTGCTGTGCTTTATTAGCATAGATATGCTGAATTGTATAGAGTGTTAATTTGAATCCATTGTTCCA